CACTGCCAGGCTGTTCCCTGCTGGCTCTGAAGTGCCATTGCAATTGGGGGCGGTTCTGGGCAAAGCAATGATAAACCAGAGGGTATCATCCAGGGGGAGAAGGGCTGATGGGAGCCTTGTGAAGATCAGCAAAGGGAAGTTCAGAGTCCTGCACCTAGGGAGGAACAACTCCAAGCACCGTACAAGCTGGAGGCCACCCAGCTGTAAAAGAGCTTTCCAGAAAAGGACCTGGCAGACAAGAAGTTGAATTTGAGGCAGCAAATCAGTTTGTGGCAAATCAGGCCAGCAGCACCTTAGGTTGGATGTGGCAGGGCATCACCAAGGGGCTGAGGAGGTGATCCTTCCCCTCTGCTCAGCACTGGTGAGGCATGGCTGGAGGGCTGGGGCTGGTTCTGAGTGACCTGTATAAGACAGACATGGACTTACTCTGTCCACAGAGTTGGACACAGAGACTGGAGCATCTGAAACAGGGCGAGAGACTGAGGGAGCTGAGACTGTTCAGCCTGGAAGGGAGGTGGCTCAGGGGTGATCTTATCAGAATGTACAGGTATCTGAAGGGAGGAGTAAAGACAAGGGAGCCAGAGTTGTCTCAGTGGTGCCCAGTGACAAGACAAAAGAAAAGGCAAAGGTAGAAATACAGAGAGTTCTGGTTAAACATAAGAAATACTAATTTTACTGTGAGGGTGATTGAGCACTGGAACAGGTTGCTGTCTCCATCCTTGAAGATATTTATAACTCAGCTGGACATGCTCCTATCAAGGGGTGGGCCTCACCCATCTTGGGACTCTGAAACCAAAGAAAGGAGCTGAGCTCCAAACCCTTCACCCACACCACCCCCTCCTTTTCAATAAGGGCCCTGTACTAAGTAAGGTATGAAAACTCTCAGGTTCTTTGTACCAGGGTTTTTAATGACCTGCCTTCCCCACCTGGGCAGAGACCAAGCATTAAGAAAGGGACATTTTCTAAAAGATCACTACAGCCCTCAGAGGCAAACAGGCATCTCTTTGTTATCTCTAGAAAGAACTTTTGACAGATGAAAAAGTCTGATTTATCAAGAAGAGCCTATTGAGTCACTGACTGTTGCAGACCACTAAAAAGGAGATAGCTGAATTACTGATTTATAGCACTAATATTTTTTAATATTTTACCTTAATTTACATGATGGATGGAGTTAGTAGATGTTGAGGAGTGAGAGGTATTTGACACAGTCACAAGGCCTGGGCTGTAGCATAGTAAGTGGTAAAGCCCACACAGTTCTGCTGGCAGATTTTCTTTTTGTATGCAACCACCAAATTAGACTAAAGCCTGTCAGAAGCTGTCATCTAAAGATGTAAAACTTATGTAAATACAACTTCTCCAATTGCAATGCTGCTGAGCTGCTGTAGCAGAGCACAGACAGAGTTACAGAGTACAGAGTACTTCCATTGTAAATCCTATTTGTTAAGGACTTACAAATTGGCTGCATTCATTTGCTTGTCTGAAAGTTGGCACATGGCTCTCTCCCATGGTGTTTTTACCACATTTTACTTTATTACTTGCTTTTTTTTTGCCCTTGGCTCAGAAGCACCACAGAACTAGCCTGATTCTAACCATTAAATCCTCCCAACGTGCTACACAAATATTTTGATGAACAAGGAAGTGAGAGGAAGTCTTACCTGTTCCATTAGATACATGTTTTTAAGAGCAACATTCCCCTCCTGCTGCAGGAGGTGCAGGGAAGCCTGGGCAGGGCTGGTGGTACCTGCTGAGCTGCAGCACGTGGTGGGTGCAAGGCATTTGCTGGGCACTGACTCTTGCCTTGGTGCAAAGCCCACATTGCCCAGGTCAGCAATGAGCTGGTGGTGGCAGAGGTTGGCCAGCCTGCAGCATGCAGGGTGCTGGCAGACAGCCCCCCAGCCTGTGTGGGGGAGAGGCTGTTAAAGTCCCTTCTTTCTCTGCCAAGCTGTTTCCTTGTTGGGAATCTGGCTGGATGTGTGGCTTATGTACCTGGGCACATCCCACTGGTGATTCCCCTGCTTTGTTTTTACCTATTTTTGGTGATTGTGGTGGGGAGGCTGAGCTGAAACAGGGTCAGCTGAGATTAAAATTACCAATTTAGGCCAGGGGTGTGATGGGTCCAGCTGTGAGGGTGCTGCAAAGTACTCTGTGATGAGTGCTGTGTGACCCAGTCTCAGCTGCTTGTTAAATGCCACCTCCTCTTCCTACTAGCCCAGGTGGTGCTGTAGACACACACAGCTCATACCCACAACTCCAGTCGTGCCCACTGCTGTGCTGGGTTAGGCAGAAGCAGAAAAGGCTTTATCAACACAGGGGTGTTGATGTTTTGACACTGGCAACGGTATTTGCATTTCTAGAGCTCTTGGTCATGTTTAAGCATTGCATAACACTGTTCATTAGAAAGAGGCAGACATACACAGTAAGGGAGAGGGAATTGTTCTGATATTGTTGACCTAAGCAAGCAGCTACAGCATATATGTAGGTGTGTTCATATAACCCAACAGCAGAGCCTTCAGAGACAGACCCAACAGAGCCACCTGCTAGAGCCTGCACTCCTTCACTGTTTTCTGTGGGCTGACAGTGGCTGTACCTTTAGGTTTTTGTTGCTAATTCAGAGGGAGATCTGCAGAGCAAAACATCTTTAGCAGCTGTGTCAGCAGCTGTACCCTGGTGGATGCTGACCCTCCTCTGGAGAGTGCAGCCCTCAGCACTTGGTGCCACAGAGGTGGAGAAGTTTGATTCCAAAGGAGTGACAGGTTTCAAATGCAATGAGTAATGTTTAAACTAAGTAATCCTTGTAAATAAGAAACTTTTACGCTGCAGGTTGTAACTGAAGAGGCTGGGAAGGAACTTTCCTTGTTGGCAGAAAATCTCAGGGGCACCTCAAGGGCAGAGAGGTCCCCATAACTCTTCATTACACCCTTTAACTAAAGTCAGGGTGCCTGATACACTCTACAAATTGGGCTAGTAAAGCCCCATTTCCACATTCAAAATTGCTCAGGGATATCTACTCTCTATTCCTCTTTGGAGAAGAAATTACAGCCATAGAGGGCCTGATAAATTTGCCACCTGGAGAGGAGCAGGGTGTGGTCAGACACATGCCTACACCCAAAGCCAGGCTTTGGGCTCAGTCAGGAAACAAAACAGCTTTTTTTCAAGCTGAACTGCAAGGTTGTAAATACCAAATTCCTTCAGTTACAGCAGTCCAATGGGAAAAAGGAAACGTAGTCTAATGCTGATTCTCCACCTGGTTTTAGCATTAAACAGGAGCTTGTTCTTGGATTCCTGCTCTCTCTGCAAGCAACTCGACTTACACTCCAGTAAGTCAGGAGGGCAAACCTACCTTTGTGGCTCTTGGGCTGGCCTGAGCTCGTGCACAGTGCCTTCCCACAGCCAGCAGTGCCTCCCAGGCCAGGTCCTTTCACAGCTGCCCTCGGCCTGTCCTGATCACAGCACTGTTGGGGACACAGCCACAATGTCACTGTTAAAGCCACCACTTAACTACTCCCCCATAAGAAGAATCCAGTTTGTGTCTCCATGGCATTGCTTTAGGTTAATCATCTATTCCATATGGAAAAGTCTAGCAAGGAGGAGAGAACAAATGCAAGAACTCTGAGAGGAACAGGACATACCAATTTGTGGGGGGTGAGGAAAGGGAAGGTTGTAGAAAGGAGAAGGGAGGAAGAGATGCCTCCAGAAACAGAGAAAAGGGGACCACAAGAGAGCAGGCCATGGCCACACCAGTAATCTCCCCCTTTGTTAAGTGAAACTCTTTAGTATGGCCTTTAACAGTGAGCTGTTTTTTCCACACATGAGAGAATCTAGCTCTTTTATCATAATTACAAAAATACAGTAGTTCTTCCAAAGTCTTTGATGCACCACACAAACCTCTCAACTGCAAGAAAAAATCCATCCCAAAAAATGACCCAAGCACCTTACCAGTACAGGGCCAGGTAATCCACAGAAAACTGTCATCATGGACAGTGTCTCCACTTTGTGAGTTCATGTTTTATGCCTCCATTTAAAAAAAAAAAAAAGTAACAATATTTCCTTAAGAGGTTTCACTTGTAAAGAACAGACTGATAATGTAACAGCACTTCAAGCCCATCAGCACAGAAAAACACCTGCAGTGAAGGACAACCAGGACTTTACCTGAAAATGCAGCCAGGCTCCTCCTTCAGAGGATGAGTAACAGAGCTGGGGGTTCCTGTGGGTGAACTACACTGGGTGAACATGTAGGTGTAAACCCCAGTCAGAATGGGGTGGCTCTTGTTTGCACAGCAGAAATTAGATGTGCTTTCTGAGTGCTCCAGGTGTTACACAACACGGGCACTGAACGGTTTGGCTTTAAAAATGCCCTGGAGTGAATTAATGCCCATAATCAACTCAAGCATCTCTGTCAGTATCGTGAATCATTAAAAACCTCATTCGCAACCCCAAAAGCAAAACTGTTCTCAAAATTAAGCAGAGCTCCCCAGCTACATACTTAAATGAGATAAAAGTGGCAGGGCTCTGGTTGATGGATGGCCCCCTTTTATCATCACCAGGAGTGACTGTTTGCTTAGGAGAGAGACTTTGATCTTACCTCTCATTTTTAAATGTGGTGGAAATAAGCAATCTCCCAAAGAAGACAGATTTCATGGAGACTTCCTGGCTCACAGCCTTCCATGTTCCATTTAATATTATGTTACTGCATTTTCAAACTGTTTGGACGTTACTTTAGTGCAATTAAACTAATTCCAGGATTGAAACACATGGCTGTTTGAGGGTTGCTAGTCGTGAGGTGCAGAGAGGGAATTTCTAAAGCATGTACCAGTTTTCTCCTGTGTCCTAAGCAGAGTGTTGGGTCATGTGTATGTAGGACTTTGCTTGCCCAGAGATGAAAGGACCAGCAGAATCCACGAAGCAACAAGAAGTCATTTCCACATACAAGAAGCTGTGTGCATTAGATGACAGTGAGACATGAATCACTTTTACAAGATTTTGCAACTGAAGACAAGTAATTCACAGGAGTTTTAGAGACTTTATTTATGTATAAACAATTTAAACACTTTGCCATAAATTATCTTTGCCTGTCTCTAGTCTTTGCTTAGCAGCAAATTAAAATTAATATAAAAACTCAATGAACAATTCATACATGTATATTACAAAAAAGTTCTTGTACCAAAGTTCTTATTAGACTTTTTTTTTTTTTTTTTTTTTTTTTTTCAGTGGTGACCGTAATGTGATTGTCTCAGTTTCTCGACCAAACAAACACACTAATAATTTTTAAATCTGAAACAGTGATTGTGCCTTCTGGCTGATGTATGTACAGGGTGATCTGACGTGGTGCCCATTTGCAATAGTGTAACACAATGCCCACAGCTCTACTGGAACTGATACCAACAAACTACTGAATCTAAACAGACTACACCCTGTAACTGTGTTATACTGTCCACAATGGAAATCTTCAAAGACAAACAGAGTATGAAATTTATCTGTAGTGATTTATAGCCACCATTTTGAATGTAACTTTACACTCTGCCCTCTTTGAATAAGTTAAGCTTCAGGCCAGACAAGTGGAGGGTCAGAGTGCAAGTGTGGTTTTGTTACTTTTAAATATATTTTTCCTTTCCTATTTCCAGTGCGCTCTCACTTGCATTCCGTTTGTCCTCCAGTTGCTACACACAAATCACCCCAAAGTCATGTTTTAAATGCACCTGTATTTTGCTTTAAATGAAAACCTCTTGGATATTTATCAAACAAGCAGTCTGAATCATCTGTGTTTCATCAGCTGGTTAGTGAAAGTGGCCCACTTGGATTTCTTAGTTTGCTCACGTGTGAATGGAGTGAGGTAATACAATACGAGGCCTTCTTTTTGTTTTTCTTTAGACCCAGAACAAGTGGGTAATATTTCAGGGGTACTTTTTAATTTGTACGGTTAGAGTTTTCAGTCTGGCTTTAGTCCACTTCAGGATGTGGTTTTTAATCCCTTGAACAGTAGCATTTAACTCAAAAAATATGAGCTTTTTTGCCACTTACTATCCCAGAGTAGCTCAGCCTAGTGCCCCCATTTAGGTCTTCATCTCCTTAGGAGAGGAGATAACAGTTATGACTACTGATTCATCCAGCAAAGGATGACAGCAGGTTAATTTGTTACCTCTTTCCCATTTCATTCTGTCTTAAAAACTGGATGTTGCTGCTACTGTCTGCTAGCTCTGGGTACTGCTCCACGGGTAGGACATAATATCCCTCGTAACCTTGGACCCTTCCCGTGTTCAGGAGCTGCTGCCTCTCTCCGTCTGTCCATACACGGCTGCCCTCTCGGCCGTCCCGCGCCTTCTGCTGCTCCTTGGCCCAGGCGGAGCCCAGGGCTCGCTGCCGGGCCTGCTCCAACACTCGCGCCTTCTCCTCGTCCAGCGCGTCGGGGGTGAGGCCGTAGCGGATGTTGAGCAGCAGGGTGGAATACTGAAACTCAATATTCGTAAACCTTCGAGTCCTGCCGTTGACAAGGAGCGTGGGCTGGGACACGGTGACGTTGACGCCGCTGTCCAGGACCTTCCTCCCGCTGGTCATGGCGAGGGTGACGAGGTCGCTGTCGGCCGAGCCGACCTTCACGAAGTAGTGGGTGTCCTTCCCCTCGATGCTGTAGTGCATCTTCTCCAGGTAGTGAGCGCTGTTCAGGACAGAGGCGATTTTCCTGCTGTCGTCCGTGGCTATGCTGGAAACGCCGGTGGTCACACGGCCCTCCTTCACAGCGAACATGATTCCCTTCCCAATGATAGGAGTGGTCGTGGCGAACCAGTGACCTGCTTTTTCTCTAATGCTGGCGTGTAATCTCTTAGATATGACCTGTCCCTCCAGAGCCATGAAAGCCTGGTTGTGTCTTTCTGTCGTCTGCTGCACTCCTGTGATTAGCTGGGGAGAGCAAAACAAAAGAAAAAAACCACCAAAGAAGATACAGATCTGAACATACTCATTTAAGAGACTGATAACAATCTTTGCTTTGCTTTTTCAAAGGAAAGCTATGCAGTGAAAAATTCTGCTCTATGGAAAGACCACCCTCAGTTACCCATCCTTACATATATCCTGTTCAGAATCAGGTAAACATTCACTTGACAAATTATTTTGCCATCCTTAATACCAAGTAAAATAATTCTCATCACCCTTTATAACATACATGTACCAAAAATTTCAAATGATATAATGTCCAGTAAAAGAATAAGAAAGACCCAAGTCTAGCCCAGTTTTAATCAGAGCTGGAAACAAACAGTTTCAATGTATTAAATGGTGGCATTTAACTTCTGGACACTTTTGCCTAGAGATTTTAACCATTATATATAACTAAAACATTTATGAATGTAAGCTTTTTTGAAAATAGGTGAAATTTGCCTCAAAAGTACCATGGCAATTCCTGAAGAGGGGATTTAGACTCTCAAATTACTTAGAAGCCTGTGAAAGTGGTATGTTTAGGTTTATACAATAATTTCTACTGCATTACCACAAGGATGAAGTGAGCCTAGCAAAGGCTAAGTTTGGAATTAGACTAGTGCTCTTCTTAAGTTTATTAAATGGGTTGTAATTTATTATAAAGGTCAAAACAATTGTTCACCCTTAACCTGACAATTAAGCACAAACACTGTAACTGAAGTTAACTGGAGTATCACATAAAAACCTTCAACTAGGAAAATGACAAAAGATGACAAGAAATCCTCTTACAGGGTGAGAAGTAGAACCCTTTTGTACCAGTACAAGTACCAAGCTAAGTTTATTGCAACACATCTGTTACTAGGATGGTTTTACCAAAGGTACAACAGATGATAAATTACCCTGACAAAGTCTCCCTTTGTCATTGCTAATCAAGTTAATCGAGTTACAACTTGTTAATCAAGGAATAACTCAATAAAAGACAAACTAATGACATTGTAATTATGATAACAACGAAGGCTGGCAAGAAAGGCATATGTTCATTAGTATAAAATCTAGCTATACTCACTTCATTTTACACTGAATTATTTAATTCAGTGATGTGGCCTTCTGCTGTAACTACAGAAGAGCCAGCAATTCTACCCATAGAGTGGGGCAAATTTATCAAAAGAAGTAACTTAATACTTCTGCCTACCTGTCCATTTTCACATGCTTGACTCTCAGACAGTTCGTATGGCGGTGACACAAAGTACATTTTTGCTCTAGGGAAACCAGGAATAATGTTGCTAAGCTGAAATCCAAACATCACCAACCAGCTTTTGACATCTAAAAAAAATCAAAAGAAAGCAGACAAGTGAGAAACAAATGTGCGTAACAAATAGAGGAAATAAAAAAAATTTGCAAATCCATCCTTGACATCCTTAATTTCAAGTGGCAACTGAAGTCACAATTAATATTACAGTGTGGAACTTTACAGAATTGTAGCAATCTACCATGAACAGGTACAGGAAATATTGCTTTAAATTAAACCTAAATACTTCATCAAGGATATACCACCTCTTTCATTCCTTTTTCATTATAGCACATGGCTTATCCAAACATTTTACGGTATGCAGTACTTGTTCCATCTCTGACACCTTCTAATGTGGCTACTGTAACCTCTAACTGCATTGTAAAATGATATTTTATTAGGTTAACACTTTAAAAACATTTGCAAAGTCCTTTGGGGAAACACATGGCTTTTCTTCCATGTCCTAGTTCTATCAGCTGTCATTGGGTCTCAGGAGGCTCCATTAAAAGCAGTGAGAAGCCAGACTTGTAAATCAGATGTCTAAATTTAGGCACCAAGACTATCCTCCCCATCCCTCCAGGGAAGGCAGGAGCTGCATAGGAGGGTTACAGCTCAGCTCTGAGGTGAGTTTTGGGAAGTTCCAGCTGTGGGTTTGACCAGGAAAACTCTGCCTTCAGATCTATCTGAAAAAGCTAAGGAAGTAAATTAATAACAGTAATTCTCCCTCAGCAGGTATTAAGAACTAATGATGTACTCTAGCTATCCAAATGATCTTTTTAACAAAAAAGAAAAGAGTCACTGACCCCGTATTACATTTCTGATTCCTGGTTCATGACCATTTGCATGTAAGAATCTCTCCTGTCTTTCCCAGTATCCAGCTCTTCTCGCTGGCCTACACTGGCTCCTGATGCTGCTACTGCAGCTTCTTCCTGTGAGCTGAGCTGTTGCAAAGCTGTTTTTTCCCAAAAGTCTTCTTTTCTTGGCCATTCTGACTCTAAAATAAGTAGTAAAATACTCTGCCTTTACTAAGGTGTCTGTATCTATCTCCCATCACACAGTGCCTACTGTATTTTTCCTGTACCTGTTACTGCTCCTTTTTAAGGCTTCAGTTTATTTTATAGTTAAATGGTATCTCCTGAACAATTCATTTCAGCTACCGTAATTCCACAAAAACCAGAGGAGGACCCATATACAAAGTAGTCACTAATTTGCAGCACTGCATTTGCTACAGGAATTTCTTTTCAGCAAATCTGTGAATAAAGCAGTGTCAGGGGTTAACTGTAAGAATGGACTGGGGAGGAGATGTTTGGGGGTTTTTTTTTTTTTTTTTTTTTTTTAAGCTATGACAACAAAGGTATCACCATCATCACTTCTTGTGCAAGATAATCTGTTTAGTCCATAAAGCAACAAATATTCGCATCACTGATTAAATATTTTTACAGACTACAAGGTGTGTGTTGTCCCAAACTGCAATTTGTCTTTCTAGATCTCCTCCACTGGATGGATAAACTAAATTAATGCAATTTTAGAATGTAGCAAAATACAGTAAGATGATGCTGAAAACCTAAATCAAACAGTGGTGGATGAAAATAGGAATTCTGTTGAATTTAGGACAACAGAATTTGATCCCAAGGTAATTTCGGTCATCAGTATTCTCACACTGTCAGATAGAAATTGCACTGTCTCCAAATTGCAGAGTAGCTCCAGCAGAATCTGGGGTGTGTTACACCTATTAGGTCACAATGTACTAATGAAACTTGCTAAGATTTTCTCTGAAGAAAATGCACACTTTTCTTGAAATTTAAATTAAGATCACTCCTATTTAAAAATTATATCACTGCTCTAATTATTGTACACTGCATATTCAATTCTGAAAAAAAGCTTTTCCTGAAGACATATTAATTACCTTTCCTTTTAGAAACTGCCAGCAGCTAGTTCAAGTACTGTGTGATGTTACTAAATGAAAAATTATTCCTAATTAAGAAGGGGTTACAAGTTTTACCCAATTCTAATATATGTGATCAAAACTACTTTTGTTTCTCAGCTCTACATACTGCATAACATTTCCTAGTCTTTCAGGATGAAATAATTTTAAAAAACATCAAGGATTTTGTTTAAATGACTAAAAACTGTTTGCATATTAAAAGTTAAATGGTAAAAAGAGGTTTAATTAAATCCATTCTGGGTGCTAATTCATAATGTGCTCATGGGTTCAGTCAGTAGTTAATTTTGAAAGTAGCCCAGAAAGGAAGAGATCTGAGCATTTCTGGCTTGTGATTCTGAACCAACCTGCCAGTGATTCCTGTAGGTGATTTCACTTTTCCTGATATAGAATTAGAATGAACACATCTTCATGCAGCACTGGTTCAACAGGAAGAACACTATGGCTGTGCTGAAATTTAATATTCAGCAAAACTATTTTTATTTTTTTCCCTCTATAATTCATCGTGGCTTCTCACTTAGTGCCCTTCATTCAGGGAAGAGCAGTGCCAAAGGATCAGCACTAGCCAGCCCTTTTCATAGCACAAAAAGGAAAATGGCCCACACTTGATGGGAGGATTCAGCCAAGGGCAAGTAAGGAGAAGTCACATTTTTTTCTCAGCTTCCAAACTAAAGTGTTACTTAATATAAATGTGATGAAGCCTCACCTGTTACATAATTCTTTAGATCCAGTTCATTGCTGAGAGGGTTGTTACTCTTGAACATGTACAGATTGAAAGGAGCGGGTTCTCTGCCAATTTTTTTCCACATGGTGTAATCAGGAGATGTCCAGCGCCCAGCCAGGACATCGTAGTCCCTTTGGGTGAAATGCACAAGTTTGGTTAAAGGATCATACAGCCCTCCATGGAACCCAATGACCAGCTGGAAATCTGGGTTGGAGTCGTAATAAATTTCCCCATACGCCGTGTACTGAAGCTGTTTGATCATGAGGCCGTTGATGCTGAACACGGCCAGTGGAGTGCCCGTGTTATCAGAGGCCACATAATACTCTTCCCCGCTGCTACTCTCCATTGCAAAGAGGTGGCCTTGCAGGTCGTAGTACAAAGAGGTAATTTCGGAATTGGAATGATTGTAGACGTGAGTTACCCTGGTTGGATTGTGAAGATCAGCATAAAAGTACTGCAGATGGTGCCCCAGGTTGGTCTTACAGGAAGCCCTTCGGCCCAGCCCGTCGTAGCGGTACTGAACACTCCAGCCATTGGCTTTGTTGTAAGCTCTGGTCAGGAGCCCTTTGGAGTTGTAGTCGAACACGTCCGCGCCCCGCTGCCACAGGAACCCGTCGTCGTCGATCTTGTACGGGATGTCGCCCAGGCGCGTGATCCTGTCCCTCAGGTCGTAGCGCAGCGGCATCAGCCGGACGCTGTTCCCAGGATTCAGGAGGTGCAGGTTTCCGTTCAGATCGTAGCTGTAGCGCCAGGTGGGCCTGTCGTTTACTGCCACGCTTTGCAGTTGCCCATCTCCGTCATAATCATAGGTGTACTTGGTCGTGTTGGCGTAGGGACCGAGTTTCAGCTCCCTTTTGGTCACCCTCCCCATGCTGTCGTACTGCACAGTCATCCAGTACATCAGGGACCGGAACATTTCATACTGAACCTCTTTAATCCGTCCATGGGTATCAAAGTGCTTGCTCAGTGTCATAACTGCTGTGGTGATAATTTGGTTTATATCATAATAAATAACTCCAAATTTGCCAAAATGCTCTACTTTGCCAGAAATCTCATCGTAACGGTAGAGATCAACTGGGAGGGGCGTCTCACTTATTATGGGTTTGATGCTTGCGATTCGAAAGCTGTTATCATGATATGTATAATCAAACCTTGCATTGACCATGCCTTCTTCAGAGAATCTGTAGATTTGTTTGTCAACGAGAGGACCAATTTTCCGATAGCGAATCGTACAAGAAAATCCCCCACTCTGCAAATTCACCATTTTTAGGACACCTGTAGTTTCATCGTACCCAAAAGTCACCGCGGTGCTGTCATAAACAATTTCAGATAGTTTGGACAGCTTTCCATACTTGTAGAAGACTTGCCGGCCAGTTCCTAAGAACGACGTTTTCAAAATCCTCCCGTCGTCGCTGTAATCGAAAATCACGGAAGCGTTGCTTTCAGGAGGGTTGTAGATATTCCTGATGTAGCCAATGGAGGTGTGGGTGGACATGCTGTGCCGAGCCACGCTGGGCATGGTGACAGCGTGGAGGCGGTCCGAGGAGTCGTACTCGAAGATGTACTGTCGCTGACTCTGGAGCAGCAACACCATGGACTGGGGGGGAAACAAGAACAAACAGTTACCAGCTTTCAGCATGTGGCCTGTGGGAGGGCACCAAGGAAAAGTTTACCGGAGAGGCACTAATGTTAAATGACTACAAAGAGAATCAGATACATTAGTTAGGGGCACAGAGCTGCTCAGGGATATTGTCAGATTGCCAGATGAGAGGATCTGTTGCTTGGAAATCAATATGCTGACGCTCCAGAGAAAGTGTAGGTTAGCAACCTGTGAGCTACCCTCCCTGTAGGAGGACTTTTTTTTTCTTTTTCTTTCTTTTTTTTTTTTTCCTGAGGGATGCAGAGGAGTTAGATAAATGACTTGATTTATCTTTCTGCCACCAGTTGTAATTCACAACCGTTACTGTGAAATATGTGAGAAAGCAGAAAGCATCAGCTCTGGTTTGCTTAGAACAACAAGAAGGGAAAGGGAAAACAATACGCAATTTTACAGGATTTAAGACAATTTTATGACTAAAGGGTCTTAATTAGGCTAAGTAAAAATGTGTTACCATATTTTCATTTAATAAGTAATGATTAAAGATGAATTACCTGTTCCTATATGAACCTTTAGTTAGCTTTAGTCATGCATTTTTAGGCTTAATTAAGCACAAGTCATTGTGTTAGTTTATGCTGTTTTACAGTAGCCTCACCGCTATCAGGAAAATATCAAAAGACACAAACCATGAACAAAGTATTTCCCATTAAAAATTAGTCAAATTCAGCTGACTAATTAAAAAATAAGGAATTTTGAGACCAGGTATGTAGGGATTCTTAACAGCTGGAACACATCAAATTTAAAGGGGTTTGTGTGCGTGTGTTATGTGTACAGCTTAAAATGAAGCTGGGCAGCGCTTTGTGTCTTTGCAGCTGATGCCAGAAAGTAACACAGCATCACCTACGTTCTCTAGGTAGGTGTAGCTCCACACTTTCCCATCGGAAAACATGCGGGATGTGATCCTGCCTTGCTTGTCGATGTCGGTCCTCTCGCTCATGGCGCCGCGCTGGAGCCCGGCCAGGCGCCCGTTCAGGAAGTAGGACACGTTGACAGCAGCCAGGCCACTGCTGGGCAGCCACAGGAAGGGCCGTCCCAGCTGGTCGTAAATGATCCGCAGGGTGAATTTCCGGTGGTCGTCATAGATCTTCTCCGTGCGGATGTTCCGGTCGTAGTCGATGGACAGTAAATTCCTCCCGTGCACCTGCGGAAGGGAAGGAAAGGAGGCTGCACTTCGTGTGTGGTGGGCACACCATCCCTCCCCTCTGGATTTACAGAGTGAAAACACAACAGAGGAATCAGTTTTGGGAAGTGTAGGATGTCTTCCTGTTAACTGGCTTTTGCTTTCTACTTCTCAGTGTATTCAAATATGTAGTTTTGATTTCCCATCTCCCCACAACATGGGAGATGATATCCTACAGGCAAAGGATTCCCTTATGCTCAGAACAGGCAGACAATCTGCACACCTAAGTGTTAAAGTGCAGGGAAACAAATTATTTTGCATGGAAGTAATTTTTCTACTTCTGCCATCAATAGTTCTTTGCCTTTTCCCTTACAATCATCCTAAGAACCATAGAAGAAATTATAATTTTGTGCCTTCACTGGTTTAGCCACTTGGCTTCCGTAATTCCAACTCCCTGATTAGAATTCATTCATTTATTGTTTTCTTCATTTACTTTCCAAATATTCCATAGATCCTTCAGCAACCCAATCACTAGGGATGGGTTTCAATTCTTCTGTTTAAAAATCCTGATCATACAGGCTGGGAAAGATGGACTTGTAGTGTTGAAAAACAAAAGTGCTAAATAACAAGGTTAAATATTTTTCTTTCTTTTTTTTTTTGTTATAATTTTCATTCAAAGTCCAGCATGAAGAGTTTCAGTGCCAGATTTATTTTATTTTTAAGTAAAACAGCAAAATAGAAGCAAAGGAGAATAAGAATGCCAAATGGAGAAGCTTCTAGTGAGAATGCTATAATGAGAGATACATAAATATATTCACTGAGGGCTAAGCCATAGAATTCAGGCTAATGCTGTAATCTGATAAAGCTTCTTAAGTAATTTAATTGTAGATGCATCATTAATAAAGTAGAAGTCTTTAAATTAGATACAATTTCAGAGCAATGACTACTTAAAAAGTATTCATCAATTTCTGGGAATTTGTTCTTCAGCTTATATTTTACAGTGGCTTTGATTAAGCAACGTTTTCTCTTATGAAAATTAAACTGCACATCAAACAATATGTAAATGAACCCTGAGCCTTTCTTGAGGACATAAAAGTTATTCTGAGATATATTCACTGGCAGGGGTAAACCCAATTCCCACCCCAACCAACTCAGTAGGAAATCAGTTATACAGAAAGCACATTTAAAATTAATACAATTTTGTGTTTGTAAAGAAATAATTATTTCAAATTATTGCTCATTATCCTAATTTTCTCCATTAATAAAATTTATCTCTTTAGCAGTTTGCATTTCCTCAGTGGGCAATTACTAGAAAAAAAAGCTCTCTCCTGTAGGTTTTCCCAAAGGTTATCCCGGCAACTTCTCCTATGATTCAAAGGAAAGATAGGGTATTTTTCTTAAAACACCTTGGGGCAAAATAAATCATATTCTGCTCTCCCATTATAATGAAAGCAAAGCCAGGGAAGCCAAACTCAACATTAGTACTTTCTCAGCTGGTTACTCTTGTTTTGTAGGATCAGTCCTGATGACAGAGACGTAAGAAAACCCTTTCCACCAACAGAAGAGGGCTTTCACTTCCCAAAAACACTTAGCTATAGAATTAAAGGGTTAGTGTATGACTGACAGATCCCAATTTCTTGAGGATGGGCAGATTTTCTAGAAAGAAAAAAAAGTCTTTCAGAAAGATTATTAACTGAATTTTAGCTTTTGGATTTTTGTTTGTGTTTTGGCTTTTTTATTGTAATTTCTGAAGCTTCATAAAGCAGTTGGGATTTCTGGGGTTCTTTCCCTCCATTACAGTAACTGCGACCATAATCTGCATGTAAGAAACTCTGATTCAGGTATCCTCTCTTTTCTCAAAAACATTGTAACAGTTATTAGGTTTTTTGCCGCAGAAAACAAAATTAGTAGGGTTTTTTATAATGATTACACAGACAAGAGCTGTGCACACCCACAAACATCGCTTGGAGATGCATACACAAATATCACCTGCTTGGATAATCCAGAAACTCCATTTGCATTTGTAAAATAGGTAAAACCAGAGAGTGTAATTGCAGTATCATATTAATTATACAGAAACCCAAACAGGCTAACTCCCACTCTTCCTGGGAACAGTAATAACAGTTACAATTAGCACGACTGCAGATTACCTAACAAGCCCTTTCTCTTTTGTTCCCTCCCCACATGCACATCTGGTTTTCCCTCAGCTGCTGCTGAAGTGGCTGTGGGGATGTGCCCTTTGTGCCTTGGAAAGGTCTGGCCACAAAAATCACTTTACGTGACGCTGCACCGCAACAAAAACTCTTCAGAAGGGAATCTTATCACGACTTTATCTGAAGCTACCACAAGGCACTGAACGTGAGGTGCATAAAACAGCAGACAGCGAGTGGGAAAAGATAAAGGTGAAGAGCAGGGCTTGCTTTCTCAGGGTGATGAAATCTGCCCCAGTGTGTGTACAGAGGCTGTGACGTGCTCACAGCACAGTGGAGCACAGCTGGAGGCACAGGCAGCAGCACTGTGTGAGGACTCATAGAATCACCAAATATTCTGGGTTGGGAGGGACCTTTAAAGATCATCCAGTACAACCCCTCTGCAGCAAGCAGGGACTTCTCCAACTGGAACAGGCTGCACAGAGTCCAGCCTGACCTTCGATGTTTCCAGGGATGGGCCATGTACCACCTCTCTGGGCAACCTGTGCCAGTGCCTCACCACAAAAGATTTCTTCCTTATAACTAGTCTAAATCTAAATCTCTTATAGTTTAAAATCACCACCCCTTGTTCTTTTAGATCCTGCTAAAAGTCTGTCCCCATCTTTATTACAAGTCCCCTTTCAGTACCGGAGAACAGGGGCACGGAGGTGAAGTACTCACCTGAGAGGTGAATCCTACAGAATGGCCACCCCTTCAATAATCCTGATCCTGAACTGGGGATCCAGAGATGGCCCCACACACTCTCTCACCTCTGCAGGTTGTACCACTACATGCCACAGCTGTCCCTGCCTGCCACTGGCTCCCCCTCAATGTTCCAAACACTTGCTCTGTTTCGTTCACTAAACAATTTATAAAGATGAATTAGAATAAATGAGATGCAAATAAATTCTGTGCTTTCTCCCTCATTTTCGAATTTCATTTTCAGTCCACTCAACCTGTGATAATCTCATAGTGATTTTCATTTAAAAGAGCTAAATGGATATGTGATTATTGTTACAGGAACTAACACCAGACAATTAAACGTTGAGGTGTTGCTAGATAAAGTATTGTTTTGATTTGCATAAACATGATGCAAGAAAACCTATCTCAGGCAAGGTTTCAGCTCTAAGATGTGTTTAACGTCAGCTAATTACCACAAGTACCTCTATTAAATTTTTAGTATTGAGAGTTAGGATTACAGCAATTTCATTTCAGGGTCCCATTTATTTTTATTTTGAACACCCAGTCAAAATGCAGAGCCGATCTGTTTTCCACTTATAATCAACTGCTGCAGGTCAACACATCAAAAATCAATTACACAGCCATGAAATTTAGTCATTAAGGATTAGCTGCTAATCTCATTCAATTTTTTGTCTAACCTTCCCCCTCTCCCCAATAAGTACATTCTGTGCATTTGTGAGAATAAGAATAAGGAAAGAGTTGTTAACTCAACATTGGGAATTAGATGTTAAGCAATAGAAAAAAACAAAATTTAACATCCAAGTAATTTTTTTTTTGGTAAATCATGACATAATTGTTTACATATGTTGCATTTAATATATCATCTTGAGCACACAGAACTGTATCTTATGTTTATTGATGTTGAAAAATTACTAGAAGAATGAGGGCTTGATTGGCACTACATTTGTTTTCTCCCCAATACCTCAAAGCCATTCCAAAATGACACATATAAAGCAGCCAGGCAAAGTTTAGATACTGAAGGGGGGGAAAACCAGGCCAGCTAAGCACAGAATGGGATTAATCCAGCTGCAGCAGATCTTTAATTTGGCAGGGGATAGATTACATGACCTGAGTGTCTTTCTTATCCTATGCTTATGACTTTGTAATTATAGCAATTATTTTCCCATCGTGCCATTTGGGAAAGGGAATAAACACAACATGCCTGTGTCAGTGAGTCTGTAAGGGGATTTCACAGCAGCAAAAGGCAACTGCTCAAGCTGCAGTTGTGTTTGCTCCACAGCACCAACTGGTTACACATGGTGAGCCCTCAGACTCCCACCTCATTCGGGGGGACCTCATTGCTCTCCCTGAAAGGAGGTGGCAAGTTGAAGGTCAGCCTCTTCTGCCAAGTCTGAAGTGAAAGGATGAGATTAAATTGCATACGGGGAGGTTCAGATTAGATGTTTAAAAAACTTTTTTCACTGAAGGAGTTGTCAGGCATTGGAATAAGTTGCCCAGGGAGGTAGTGGAGTCACCGTCTCTGGAAGTGTTCAAGAGGGGTCTGAATGTGGCACTTGGGGATGTGGTTTAGGAGTGATTATGGTGGTGCTCAGTTAACAGTTGGACTGGATGATCTTGAAAGTCTCTTCCAACCTTGATGATTCTATGATTCTGTAATATTCTAGGTATTTTTACCAATTACCTTTGCAGTACTTTTAGTAACAAAGTTCCTATAGCTGACTGCAGCAGATGATCCCACGCAGCTAACTGAGCTCTCAAACACAGGAAAGCATGTCATACCAAAGACAATCCCACAGTTGTACATTTTTAACAGGTGAAAATAGGGAAGGCATGTCCTTCAAAATAAAAAAGTTAATTTTCCGCCCAAAGAGGAAAAGATCGTTACTGTAATGATAGATTCTACTTACCCTGAGCTTTCTTCCAAACACAGTCACTTTGCCTTTAATCTGTTCCTTCCTCAGACGCCATTCAATTGAGTTTAAACCATTTTCCATTGGTAGAGAAATATTACATCGTCCTATGGTGGGAGTCACAGTCCCAGCCAGGACATGAGGTTCGCTGTGAAAGCTAATGCTCATGCCATTGGCATACATCACTCTCAAAGTACCATTATTACAGAGCTGGTAGCTGTTCCTCACTTGATCTACAGCAATAATGAAAAGAAAATAATTTAGCTACTCCAGTCATAAAGAAAACATATAGCTTAATTTGATTGGTTTTTTATTGCACTCCTGTTGATGTTAAATGAAGTCAGCCTGCAATTACCATTTACGTGGTACTATGGTGGAAATTACAGATGTTACTGATTCATGTAAAGAACAGTAGTGTAACAGTGAGCCTGCAGAGAGATACTGTGTTTATTTCATTATGTTTTCCCTTCAGTCTTAATTGTGAATCAAAATGCACAGTGATACGTGTTCAACCACGTAATTTATTTCTGATATGAACAAAAACTCCTGAAAACTGAACTGCTGAATAAACAACAAACCATTAAACTCCAGGACAAAAAGAAAAATATTACTGGACTCTTTACAGGTAGGAAGAAGTAAGTGCCTCTTTCTTTTTCTTTCCCTCTGTTTAAAAACTGTCTCCAAGCAGAGGCTTTGTACAGAATTACAGTTTGGCTTTAAATCCTCAAGGTGTGAGGCTCCAGCAGTGCAAGCTGGCAGCCACAGCCCTTCACTTGCCTGCCTTCCCACCAGAACGACGGCGGCCTGATGGGCACACCTGGCTGTCAGAGAAGAGTTACAGCAATAATCCTGTGCTTCCAAGGCCGTGTGGTTCTCCAGCTGTTTGACACAGCCAAGTCCATTCTCAGCCAGGGTGGAGTGCTACAGTGTGCAGCTGTCAGCAAAGCATCAATATTTGCCTGACAGAAGGACAGCATCTATGTAATTAATCATCTGGTATAAGAAAAATAAAGTCTTTGTAACCAGACCTGTCATGGTATAATAGTCTATAAATGTTGACATTTATGTCAGGAGGAGACTATTGTTTGATGATGATATTCTCATTCCAGTGACATTACATCTTAATTAAAAAGCCCCATCACTCACCAAATTCCTTTCAGTCTATCTTTGATAACTGACTGGTTTTGCTCCATCAGATACAATGCCTGGGTGGTGCTGGAAAGCTCTACACAAACACTGAACCCCTGTGCTGCTGATGTCTCCTGCCACACTTGGGCCGTTACACTGCTCTTCAAAGTGATCACCCCCTGCCCTGATTGTTCTACGCTGTAATTAATGGCAGTGTACAAATTTGGAAGATTTCACTTCTCACAGCAGGAGGCTCCCTGAGCCTCTCCAGAAGGATCTCTTCCCAGGCAGCCCACATCCAGCAGTCAGGCTGCATCTCTGTGGCACTCAAGTCAGAGCCAATTTTCCAATGAAGGACAGAGATATATGTGAGTGGGCAAAGTGACTCTGACCCAAGAGGCAGTGGCAGGACTAACTTTCCCCTCCACACAGTGACCATACATACTTGACACAAAGCATGGTTGTGAAATATCTCTTACCTGTCATTTTAGGAATAAGCTTTATGGGAGCCTTTCTTGCAAACCTTAACACAATTTCCCCCCTTGCTCATAAGGGTCCTAATGACACAAATCTTTTTCTCGAGCTGTGTGTGTGGTTAGGAGGTGTGCTGAGAAGTGTGCTTTGGTACCTTGAACAACTGTATAGGAAGCCTCCACAGAGGAGAGATTTGTGATGACCGTGACATCGTCATCCCGATTAGAATTCTCAATGTCGATGGTAATAGACTTTTCCATCTCTCGATGAAGGCTAGTTACCACTCCAGTGGGACGTGTTACATTGGTCAGACGCCCTTCATGATCATAGCTAATAGAAAAGTTAGTGAGAGCAAGAAAGCATGAGGATATATGTTCATTTCAATACCCGATGTATTAATAATGCACCACATCTGTGCAAAAAAACCCCCAGAATGAAACAGGTTTTCAAGAACATCCTGGCCTTATCTAATTCTCTGTTCTTGAAAGAGTCTATAATGATGAAATAATATATTTTTAGAGATACTGATCTCAATTACATGGGTGCAAATCCAGGCTAGCATATTTCAAATTATTACATTAATTAAATTATTATGAATATACAGAGTGGTATTTGGCTCAAAAAATTATAATTAGTAAATTAAGCTGCTTTTTAATAGTTGCATTTCACTCTAAGGAAGCAGACTTCTGGTGGACACTACAATATACAAGTGCATACACTGCATATTTGCAATTAAATACTTAGTGGAAACTAAGTATGGTCTTTAATGACATACCAAGGAATAAACTTGCCATAAAGGATTAAAAAAAGACATCAGCTTGAGAACATAATTTCATTTTGATCTTATCTGTGGTATTGAGCTGCATTTTGGGGTCAGTGTTTTGGCTCATAAAGATGAAAGATGAAAAGCACAGGATAGGTAGGAGTTTCACAAAGGGCAGCAGTCAGCACTCAGAATAGACCTGAGAAGATGAGTTAAGTGCTCCAGAGGCATAAAGATAAAAAATAAAATAAAATAAAAGGGCTGCTCTCTATGAGTTTATTGAGTTTAATTTATTTAGAGGTATAAAGCCGGAGGAGAGGGGAAAGAAGGAATGCTGCTGGAAATCAAATCATACCAGTTCTCCCTTTCCTCTAGTATGCTCTATCTGTGTGCATACATATTACAGAGAAGCAATTCCTTGGATCTTAAGGGCAAGAAATGGGGACCTGCAACAAAATCAGCATTCCAGGCCGCCACTCTGCTTGCTGCAATTCTCTACTCGTGCAAGAGTCTCTCACCAAAGCACACAGAAAGGCAAGAAAAAAATGTCCTGTGTAGATAAAGGGAAAAGTTTAGGTGGAGATTGAAACCAACTGCTCATCCTTGGAACGTAGAAATCCAGGGAGCGGGAAGCCTGGAAGAGAACTGGTAAATCCATTGTATTGCCTGAGGGTAACAGAAGAGAAGAGGAGCACATTTAGTACCGTGGAGCTCGCTCACTTCTTTGTACGTCACGGTTAGCTGGAAAGATGAGAAGAAATCAGTGCTTTCAACATGGCTTTGCAATGAAACCATTCACAAACCTCAAACTGTGCCACCTGAACTGTACAGCACATCTCCACAATTAACACACAGACTGGCTCCTCAGTAAACACAAATAAAAAACACGACTTTTCGAATCCATTGCAAATGGTTGCACCCATTCAACTGAAAATTGGGGAGGAAGGAAAAAAAAAAATCACCTGTGGAGCAACAAGCCTTACCAGAACCAATGGAAGTATTAGGCAAAGAAGGAAACCAATAAAACAAAGCATCATGCGACCTAAAAGGGACCAATAATACATTGTGTTCATTTAAGGTGTTTAGGATCAAAGCAAGATTAAGTAAGCAGCATGATTTTTCTCAATAAAAGTCCGAAGTTTCTCTCCACATATACATATATATTTATATATAAATGCTTCTACCATATCAGCTAGATACTGATACCAACATATCAGCAAGATACTAGATAAAAGATAATGTGTTCAGATAATCTATGAAAGGGGATTTGGTTAAGTCTTTATAAGGGTCTTCAGAAAAAAAATTGAAAAGTACTCAAAAAGCAAAGATGAGGGAAGAACTCGATCCAGCCAAGCATCCATTGAAATGGAACCAAGAAAAAAGTACAAAAAATAGACAGTTTCAAAAATCTCAAAGGTTAATAATGAGATGCTCCCTTAGGGTCTGTATGTGTTATGTTTAGTGAAGACCAGAGTGATGAAGAGAACACTTAGATGGCAAATATTACAGGAAAGACAATGAGATTCTGTGTGACTCTGATATTGTTTAGGACAAACTAGAAAAGCCCACGAGTAGCTTCAGTGTGACTGTGCAGCACGTGGTGAACTTCCAGAAAAACGGTTGGTGAAATCCCCCATCAGCAAATATATTTTAGGCAATGCAAATAAGACATGAATTTAAACTCTTCACTCACATTGCTGGGTTTTTAATTAACCTAGGAAAAATTCCTAGGGATTGCTGTGGGCTACTCACTGGAAATCTCTGTTCAAAGTGCAAGGGCAGTCTAAAAAGTAAATATGGATGTACAGAGACTGAAATAGGAAAATGAAAATATTCCAGTGCTATTTCAAGAAGTCAGGATTTTGCCCCTGCCATGGGGCATGTTTCCCAGCGCTGGTCACAGTTTTGAAATCAGCAAAAGCAGAGATTAAAAGGGTTTATAAGCATGTGATGGACACTCTTAATACACACAAAAATACTCTCCATGAAGATCTGCAGAACATTTAGTTTACAAGCTAGATATACAAAAAATTCATTGCTTAAATGACAGATACACACTGTGGTACCAATGCATAAAGAAGGCATTTCTACTTTATCCATTTCATCAATAAAATCCTATTTAAAAAAATACCTTAAAGGTAAAAAATTTAAAATTAATATAACAGAAACCTTTTATGTACTACAAAAGTTAAGTGACATATTCCTAGGGGTTGTTGTTTTTTTTTTTTTTAATTTATGTATAATGTGAGAGCAAGCACTCAGTAGAATACAACACCCAGACATTAATCTGAATAATAAGAATAAACTATATAGGAATTAAATGGTTATATTCCTTTCTTCTTCATGTCATGAACCTGATCCTAATGAAGTAAAAAAGAAAATTTGCAATGGAAAAGAAACTAGTTAACCTGGGACTTCTTGGTATCTTTATCAGAAGCAGTCACTACAGGCTATGACACAGCATCAGGCTGGATGAACCAGATCTGATAAAGGCAACCTTTATATCTTCAAATGAGGTGGACTCTGGGTACACTGAAATTCCTGAGCTTTTGTTACTGACTTCAGTTAGAGTAAGGTTTCATCCCATGTTTTCTGCTAATAAAATTACAAGGGGAGAAATCCTTTCTTAATGCCAGTACCTTAAAAAACAACAGCAACTCCTTGTGCCCTCTGCTGACTCCCCAGCACATGGTGGCTAACTGCCACCAAGTGTCCCCCTGAAGGAAAAGGCTTCCCAGGACAGTTCTGGGTGTCCCCAGGCACCAGGGCAGGCACAGAGGTGTTGGCTGACTCTGCCAGCCCAGGGGCTCTGAGCCTTCCAGAGCCATCCCATGGGTGCTGGGCCACCCACTACACCTACAGCTCAACTGTGGGACACAGCTGAGCACTTGTCACCTTCTCAGGCAGCTACAAACACCTGACCTGAGCATCCCTTCAGTGAGCTGTGACAGTGCCCTGAAGGCTGCTCTCCCATGCCCAGTGTTATGGCACCTCTCTACCTCAGGCAATTTTTATCTCCAGCAACCTGACCTCGGAGGTTTGAGCGTGTGCTGCTCGACAGGAGCAGCCAGGACAGAGCCACATCCAGCACTGCAGAAAGGAGGAGCAGCAGCTTCGGACTGAACACAGAGCTGGGCAAGGCACAGACCCACATACATTTACATACACCCCCATTTTCTCGCCCTCATAAAACCTGATTTGAGAAGAAAACTGCAGCCTTCTCTTCAGATGCTCCCTAGACCAAGTGGAATACCACTGGGAACCGCTTCAAAGATCTGTGCTTCATGCCCAAACCAAGCTTAAATTACCCCATGTGAGCCTGCTGGTAGCTGTTCTATTATTGAAGAGCCTTGCCTGTTCCTACTGCAAATGAGCTGCCTGCACACACACAGGTGCTATCTATAGAATATACAGATGGAGTGTGTATATACACACACAAAACCACTTTGTGGCCGCATTTCTCTGCATATACAGATGCACACCTACATGAACTGCACATATTTAATTCTGAGAGTGTTTCCAGGGTAAAGTTTCAGATAAATGAAAGGAATATACCCAATAAGATAGCACAGCACTTCAACATCTGGTTGATATAAATGCACTGAAATAAATTTTTCATAAGAACTTTAGTTCATGTAGTATTTTACTACTTAGAAGACTTTTGTTCTTTTCTAATTCTGCTGCCATATTAACAGTTTTTGGGTCCTGATTATCTATGTATGAATGCATGAATGTAATGGCACAGAAAGCTATTTTGTTGTCCTTCTAAACTCTCATTAGCTAAATATGTCTTTCATCTTCAATTGATATTAACTTACAGCTCCCAAAATAAATTGCAGAATGATGAATGCAGAATTTTCCCTTAAGAGCTGCTTTGAAGAACAAACAGAAACCAGTATGGAGTGACTGTGGACTGTGATTGTTTAGGTTTGTAAATTTGATTTAAATAATGTCTACATGGTCCTCTCATCTGTGGGCTCTATGCTTATGAGAATGTATGTACAAATCTGGGAGAAAGTAAGTTATTTCTGCTGCCTCATCAAAGTTACTAATTATCTAATACAGTACCTCAGGCTGTACTATTTAGACCTAAATATGGTACTTAACTTCCACTGACCTGAGGCAAAGGTTGCACATCTCTTGTTATTGGATCTTGGAAAAAAATTTGCAGCACTATATACACATTAAATGATATTTTCAGCTGATCCCAGTAAGATATCAAAGCCTCTGCCTTCTATGTTTCCTCAGGACTCATAATGCAATTTTTCTAATACATCATGTTAACTTACTACTTGGTGTGATTCTCAGACACCAGTTGTACCAGTTTTGTGCCTGGTAACTTTCTGATGACCTTTTTTTAATGTTTCATTGATTTTCGTGTCGAGTTCTAAATTACTTTGCTATTTAGTTTTCTACAATTAATTACTGGTGTTTTGAGAAATAGCTAATTTATGTGACTGAATCTTGAGCTACCTATTGAGGAAAAAACAATGAAAAAAACCTACCTAGAAGGGCATCCACATCTCACCAGCAATAATATGGAATTTTATTCTGCCTAGTCCAGTGAGCTTGTAATCAGCAGGTTATGTGACCTTGATGTCAAATAACCGGACTATTTTTGTAACAGATTTGTGGTAAAGGAATAATCTTTGCAAAATATTAAGGAAAAAACCCACTCCACACCTCTAAAGCCAGCCTAGACGAGGAATCAGTGGTTTGGTGTGCAGGGCCCCACGAGAGGGCACTGCTTCCCTTCGTACGGGAAAGCCAAACGCAGCAGGGACAAAGTACCGAGGTGCAGTGCTGATTTAGAGATATTCTGAGCAGATTGAATACAGTCCTTTTTTATTCCTACGTTACTTGTGTTATCTCTAAACAGAGAGAGAGTGGTGGCCAAGCTGAATGCATTAATAAACTAAAAGAGGTGCGTGTCATTGCTAGTCCGTAACCTTGAAAATAAGCCTGCCATTTATAATGAAATATAAAGCCCTATTCATATTTTCTACTCACTATTTTGAGGAATGATATTTATTAATCATTAATTAAGTATATAAAAAAATATATGGTGTCATACTTGCCGTAATTAAAAGCTAAATATATTTTTTCAACATATCATTTAGCTTATATTTTTTAAATAGTTTCGATGAAAAAAATGGCAGTAATACTACTAAGAATAAGATAAATATTAATAAAAATCTGACTAGTTTTTCTAGATTTTTAATATACTTTTGAACTTCATCTTTTCAGATGAATTTCATTTAAAGAGGAAGTTCTGTCTATTTAATCTATACACTCATGAACACCAGTGTGCTTTTGGGTTATCTACAAATTATGGAAGTTACACCAGGGGTCTGACAGATAGCTGGGGATCTAATTTCCTCGCTTGTCTCAAGAATGAACAATCAGTGAAGTTAATCAACATTTTAACAACCATGAGTAATATATGAGTCTGAACAGAAAGACAGATAATTCGAGTTCCAAAAGAAGCTGCAGCATGAGGGTTCCTAGAGAGGCAGCTCAGTGGGAGCTGCAGAGTGCTGGGGGCTGCTCTGGCTGTGCACTTTTGGAGCTGTGGTGACAACTAAGAGCAGGGTAACTAACATGGGGTTCTGGGCGTGGCACACAGTCCTTCGTGCTGGAGGTGGATGAACTGCCCTGAACTCTAACCCCGGGCAGGGATTTAGGTGGATCAGTACCCACACAAAGAACCCAGCATGACTGATGCAATCAAGAAACCACTTAATAATTTCCAGCATCAAACTAGACTGAGGTGCAATGGCCTTATTCAGTATCAGTGAAAAACCTACAACAAATTTCAGTAGGGTCAGTTTAGGGCCTACACACTACCATTTGAAAAATAAATGTACGCTTAATATATCCAAAAACATTCTTACTCATAAAATGTTGTCCATCCTGTTTCATCACTCTTCGTTGCTAAGAGACCACTGTTTCCGTTATATGTCATTAATCCGAGCTCCAGGGTCTGTGTTGAGACTAGCTTGAGTCCACCATTAGTGCCAACAGCCAGCGTGACAATCTGATTATCCGGCATCAGTAAGTGGCGGGGCATCCCACTGGCATCCCGACGGACCTTCAAGGAGTTGCCATTGTTGTCCATCACCTCCGTGACATCGTTATCGCTGCTATAGGTGAAATTGTACAAGTACTCCCCGGTAACAAGGCTGAGAGTGTACTGGTGAATCCCATCAGCATTGAAGACATACAGCTCCTGTTCTCCTGGAGATGCAGCTTCATATTGGTTAAAGGAATTAAGAATGGGCCTGTTTTTACTGACAGCCCTAATGCGGATATTTCCGAGATCAGCTATGTAGATGGTACCATCTGGGGCCACAGCTAAGGAAGATGGTGAATTTAAGATGGCATCAGTGGCATACCCATCATCCCCAGCATAGCAATTACAGTTGACATCATTTTTGCAATCACAGTCTGAAGCTGCCCCTGCAAGAAGGCATATTTCTCCATTGGTAGTTACCTGGCGGAGCCGATTAATTTTTTTTTCATCTGTCTCACTGATGTAAAGAACTCCTGTGTGTGAGATGGCAATGGCACTGGCTGATTCAAGTGCAGAATGAATAGCCAGTTTGCTAAGAGAGTAGTCTATACCAGGAACCTGGCAGTGCATGGGGCGTCCAGCAATAATGCTAACTTGATGGTTTTCTGTGATCCGTAAAATAACATTGTTCTCTAGGACATAAAGGGAGTTGTCCATGGGATTGACAGCGAGATCAGTAGGCCACTCCAGCCGTACCTATGAGTTGCACAAATTATCACTGTAAAACTCGTAACTGAAAAGTACACTTCCAGTGTTTAAAATTCCATGTGTAACAACAGCAAATTAGTGAGGGGTTTATCAGCGTAAATCATGAAACCAAGTCATGAACGGCAACTATTTCAAATAATGATTTTTTTTTTTTTCCGAAATATTAAAGCTACGTGCGGTCGTAACTTTGGCTAATTGTGTTTCTGTGCAAAGAATGAATGCTACATTGTGGAAGCTCTACAATAATTACAGAATAACAGGCAATTAAGACAATAACTCCCATTATCTCAACCTTATTTCTCTACAGTTGCATAAATAACCTGTGTTAGCCACAGTAAAAAGGATGGTTCGCTCATTTCAGTAATGAATCAAATATGCTATCATCTTGTGCTGCATAATGTATTTCTTAAGTGGCCAGGCAGTCATCCAAAATAGATGCCCAACTCTTCTAAGGCAGAGAAGGAAACAAATGCAGTAAGAGTCTACCTGGGTGACATCCATGCTGGAATCACAGCTGAGAGGCCGAACAGCAGTTAGGTCATTGGAGCCCAGCAGAGTTGATATAATTCCATTCTGATCCACTTTTCTAATCATAGTGGCATCAACAAAATACATGAGTCCATACTTATCCACTGCAATTCCTGCAAATATAAAACCCAGGCATCAGTGCAGCAGCGAGGAGGCTCCTGGCTTCAAGGCTGGCTTTGTCTTATTGACAAGTCTACAAGAAAGTAACATTTGTTCACTTCCCCCATTCTTTCCTCCCTCCCAACCTGAGCACAGGTCCTGGAACCCTCCAAGTACCCACAGTTCTACCAAACGAATTGCACCGAGCAGGTTTATCCATCAGGGTTTTAAAGAAAACCACAAAGATCCCCAGACATGCCAAAGAGCAAGCAGAATGCATCAGCTTATTTCTTAATTCAAACTCTGTATGATATATTACATAAACTCAGCGAAAAAACTATCTCCTAAATTTTGCTCTCAGAAATTTGAGGCATTGCTTTCTTCATCAGAAGGATCCAATGAGGATGAAGAATTTTTAGAAATATTTTAAAATTCCTTTAAAACTTTTTAAAAACTGGGAGGGCATTTCATTATTTCTGGGATGCTTTTTTTTATTCTTCGACCTGTTGCAGTAAAAATAAGGGAAGAACATCTGGTGTTTCCAGATGAAGGCACAGGGGTTGCCAGCTTAGAAAAAAAAAAGGGAAGGTTCAATGCCTGTCACATTGGGAGTCCTCAGAGAGGAAAGGCACAGAATGAAAGGGTGCTCCCTCGGAGGAACAGACGGATGCTGCTGCCGGTTGGGAAGGAGGGCAGTCTTTTTCTCACTTGCCTTTCCTGCTTTGATTTGGTGCACTGCCTTGTCCATTTATTGGGCTGAAAATAAAATATTGATCTAAAAATTCTGGCTTCAAATGGTTGCAGCGCTCATCCCTATTGGGCAGTGAGAGAAGATACGGCTTCATCTTTTTAACTTCTACGGATTAACTGAAACCGCTTCCTACACAAAGAGACAGGACCTTCCATTTTTATTCACTTTTATGATCATCTAGTTATTTTCAACCACTGAAAAAAATCAGAGATGATTGAAACATCTGGCAGTACACCTGATTAATTCATCCTTACAATTAAGATGAAGCAACAGAGAGAAAAAGCCTTAAAAAGAAACACATCCCCAAATCTCTAGATCATCTTGAAAACTTTTTGTTGGAAATAAGAAACTGGAAAGGGCAAAAAGATCCTTTTATTTTTTTCTCTAACTCTGAAGAAAAAGGAGATACATCGAATAAAAACCTCAGAGAAAAGCCACATCAGGCAGTTTTTCTCCCCAAAGACTGTATCTCAAACAGTAATTTGTTTCCTGGTTTACACGCTTGCTTCTTGGAGTGAGCGGTACCCTGCTAATTTGTGTTCTGTTCTCCTTTTGCAGCACTCAGTGTTGGGGTAATAAAGTTTGCTTTAACTAAACAAAGCACGAGCACTTGCCAATCCACTGTAATTAAAGCCCAGAATAAAAATCACCGAGCAAGGAGTGATTTAATTGCCAGATAATTATTTCCACATCCAGCCCAGCCGCACGCAGTCGTTTTCTCCAGCTTCTTTTCCTACTTTACCTCGAGGGCTCATTAGGGTTGCGTCCACTGCCTTCCCTCCATCCCCACATCTGGCTTCATCAAATGGCAGGCACTGCTCTCCTGTCCCTGCCACCACTTCAGAGTTACCCGCGAGGTCTTTTGTGCCTGTGAGGGACTTGACTCTGTATATCCGTCGACTATTGGTGTCCGACACGTAGAGTGAGCCTGAAACAGGGTCCACGGCCAGATAGTATTTATGAGCGGGATTGTTGCTTTAGAGAGAAAGAAAGCATAGAACAGAAACAGCTGAGCAGTCTAGAAACTTCACAGGCTTTCAGAGCTTGGGTGCTCATCAGGCACAGAAAGATCTGGAAAGAAAGTCTGACACCTTCATACAGAGCTGAGGTCTGAGGGACCACCATCTGAGGACCTGACTTGGTTAGGGCCTGGTCAGTGTTCAGAGGGATTGTCATTTTAAATCTCACTCATCCTTCTACACTGAGCCTTGCACAGCAGAGCCCAGTAAGCCAGAGCTGCACAGCAGTCTTGATCTCTTCAGCCCTTTAGATCTGCTCCAGGTCAATTCTCTTCAGCTTATCTGTTTTCCCCCCTCCCTGCTACCTTGTTTAACTTCCTTTGGAAGTAGAAGTCATAGGGGTAAAATCAAAGAATCAGCTTCTGAGTCACTTAGATTACGCCACAAGACTTGTGAGGTCTTGTATAAATAGGAGGCAGAGGCATAACAAATTTATTCCTAAAGCAAATTTGTTCTCATTCATTCTTATCAAGAATCTCATTTACGGCAGATGAAGTTGGTTATATAACTAAAACCAGAGACCCCAAGTGTCTGACTTTAACTCCAAACCTTCTGTTATTGGAAAACTGGTCCTCAGTTTGTGATTAGAATGGGCGCTCATATGGAAAGCTACTTCTCTTCTGAAATATATGTTTTTTGACAGCTTGTCACATTTTGGAACTACTTTAGCAAATCATCTGAAAATTGAGGAATGTCAATCTTTGCAATACATATATATACGTTCACACACAGAGAACTGCAGTGCAGAAATATTTTCAAAATCTTGCCTGGCTAGTTTAACTCAATTTAGTTGGATTTTAAGCGTGATGTGAATTTTCCAGCCTTTGGAGCCTATGGGTGAGCATAAATAAGGTCAATGGTGGTTTCAAAGCATAGAAGACAAATGGAAGACAGGAAGAAAAAAAAATGAAGGTTACTTACCAGTAACCAGAGAGATTTACCTCCAAATATCCACACTCCTAGTTTCATGTGGCAAAAGTGCCCATCTCCAAGAGTGAGGATACACAGAGGTAAGTTATGATGGACAAAAGCCATTTCTTGATCAGACTTGCTCAAACTCTAATAAGGCCACTTTCGGCAGATGGGTCATCAGCACACAAAGATAACTGTGGTCATGTGGTCACGACCAGATTTGGAGGAATGAGGAGGCCCCAAAATATCACCTTCTACAGTTATTTTCCTCTATGCCAGTCTTTGACATGCCATGATTTTAGGTCAATGAGAGTTCGTTCTAGAACCACAGAAGGTAGGAAGGAGATGGGTTTGATAGCAATTCAGTAGGCAGAGGCAATACCATCTGCTGAAGTCTAGGAGTGTAGAAATTAGAGATGAAGAAATACAGTAAACAAAAAATACTTGGCAGGTTTATTTCATGCATGGATCTCAAAGTACTTTAAAAAGATGGGTATTGCACCCATTTTACAGAGGAGGAAACTGAGGCACAGAGAGGTTAAGTGGTGTAGACAAAGTTATGCAGGGAGACTAGTGACATGCTTGAGATTAGAGCACAATCTCATTATTCCCCAAGTTCCTCTCCTTATCTTCAGCAGCAGACTGCACCTCTTCACTAGACCCTTATCACATTACTCCAAAATAATGCTCAGCCTTCTTTGCCACATAGAAAAAGCATTCTTTCCACTTAGGAGATTCCTCCAGTCTCTCATGTATCTGAGCCATACAAACATCTGCACATTTGCCACTGTTTAGAAAGTCTGCTCTTCTCCCACCACGCTGTCCCCTGGCACTGAAGAACAATCTCTGCCGTGACACTGGTGTTCCATACTTCACAAATACACCCAAACTTAGCTCAAGGCTGGTGCCTTTTGTGTGGCCCTTCTAAAACAAGGCACACACCCCCCACCTTGGCCAGATGGAGGACCTGAGGCAGGCACAGACTGGAGCTGGGCACAGGCTGGAGCTGGGCATAGACACAAGGCAAGGCCCTTGCTGGTCTCAGCAGTGAGAGCTGCTCACACAGTGTCCAGAGGAGCTGAGCTGCTGCTGCACACAGAGCAGCAGCCACCCCACAGGAATGGAAGGGTCTCTCTTTTTGGACACGATTTTGCCAGCGTGTCTGTCCACCTGCCTCCCTTCTGCCCTCAACTACCCCCAGGCATGTCCCACTGCTACCAGGATGGGACAAGGGATGAGTTAGAGTAAAGAGCAAGGGCAAAACATGGGCTTATCTCCCTCTCTCCTGCAGTCCCTGCATTTCTCCTTTGGAATCTCTCTCCTCCAGGGCAGCTATGCCAGGGAGTCAGTCGTGAGCTTTGGTTCCTGATCAGGGAGTGGCTCACTGGAGGTGCAGACCTCCTGCACACCCTTTCCCTCCTTCCTGAGCCCTGTAAGGGAACAGACAGTAGAAGATTTTCCATGCAAATTTTTGAGGGACTTTGGCAGAAAACAACTGCTGGAAGGTGACATGCACTCACTGTGTCCCCAAATGATTGATGAGACTGTGGCCTCAAACAGGGATGTGTTTTATAACTGAGCAGTCAATACATCTCAAACTGGCACCTGAGCAATTAAAGACCTCTGCCTCTCTTTTCCTCATGCCACTATAATCTTTAATTTGAATTATAGGAGGCCAAAGATTGTACCTTGTTTTAAAAGATTTTCCATGGCATTCAGCATTTCTCAGAGGCCTCTGCCAATAATGTCTCTGCCTCCAGCCCTCCTGAGTGAATACAGTGGTTACCAGCACCTGCAGCCTCACTGCTCTGAGAGGGAGCCTGCGCCTGGTAGCAAGTGCCAGCAGGACCAGCTTATCCTCCCTGTTCTTCTCATAGGGGCATCAAATTCACAACAGTGCGACAACAGCTATTCTTTAAATCTAACCAAAAAGAGAAGCTGCCCAGAGCAAATCTCTAAGCACCTGAAAAAGGAACTAAGCTTTGTTGAAGCAAACGAGGAACCTCCAGCACCACCAACAATCATTAGCAAATTGTGAATTAATTCATCTAGATAAGAATATTTAGTGCTGTTACACTTGCTATACCAAAATACACTGTTAAGGGGAAGTAATACTATTTAGCCCAGACCATCTATTGCATCAACTTGTACTACATAAATGGAAAGTATGGTTTTAAAAGGGTGATGCACAGGACACCATGGAATAGTTTACAACAGCTCTTCTTGTTCTTGCCCTTGATTTTCTCCAGGATGAACTTCCTCCCTGTCCCACGTGTGGCACAGAAGGAGGTTTCCTAAGCTGCTGCCATCCAGAATACCTAGTGCTGAGGTGAGACGATGAAAAATTGCTTCTCCTAACGTCCAGAAAGGTTATGCCTCCCTCCTGAATCTTACAATGACTGCACCTAGTGGTTGCATACAGCCAGCCCCACAGGTTGACTAACTATTAAATGTGTTTGACAAATGAAATATAAACTAAATTATGGCAAAGGACAGCAGGTTCAGAAAATCATTAATGACCGGAAAATGAGTTTTTGACCTATAGGCAGTCATTAGTGCTTTTGTGAACCTCTCTGGCATTTGTGAAAATGCTGTTGTAGTTTACCTTGACCATTTAGACCAATTATAGACAGCAGGGAGAGGTGTTTATCTAGAAGTTAGCTTGGGGTTCATTATCCTTGCATTCTACTAGAAATTTGTAATTACTGTCAGAACTTATTTGGTTGCTTTTTGACTGCATTTCATAATTGCTAATGCTTATCATATTCATAACACACAATTAGCACATAAAAATGTTTCTATATATGGTACATGAAGAACATAACATTACACAAGAAGCACAACACAAAAAGCAAACACAATGAAGCAAACAAACCATATCAAATTATATGGGAAAGAGCTCATGTCTTACCTATGTTTAAACTCTTTATTTCTTTATAGAAAGGGAACAGAAGAAAAAAGAACAAACAGTTAGCTGAAGAATAGATGGTAAAGCAAACATAGTATTTGTTTTATTTTACAAAAGGACACAGGAGAAGATTCTTATCTCTTTTCAGGACTAGCCTTGGCTTAGTTTACAGATGAAGAGAGACTGGGAGGGATAGAGTTCCCTATAGGATACCCCTGCCCCCACCCCCACCCCTCACATACAGGAAACTTTCTGGACCACTGAAAAGAGTTTTCACTTGGAAATATGTGCAGCTTGTGGGCTGGGAGTGAGAGAAACTAGCAGTTTTCTGAATACAGAGCTGGGCAGGGAGAAGCACCAGGCTTAGGATGTTGTCTGGCAGCTGGAGGTAAATTCTTTAGTCCAAATAGTTTTCCAACAGGCTATTTCTAAACAAATGTCTACTATGCAGTTTGTTTTCCTCTCCTTCCAGTCACTAAAATAATCGCTTAAAGCAAGTTTGGATGCTCCTTGGTATCTGTTTAAGCCCACCAAAGCAAATGTCAGGGTGAAAAAAACCCCTTCTAAGTGAGCAGTAAGGTACTGTACAAGGGGGGATAAGCAGCATTAACTGATCCACAGTTTACTGCCCAGACACAAAGCCAAGGGAGGAGTGTCCTCTGCTTCCCAGAAGAAAATTAATACATTCTGCACACCACAGTGTTTCACTGTGTTGACGTAATTTCTATTTAGGAATATCCAGCTGAAGGAAACAAAGAGGTACATGACTCCTGAGCTGCAGCACTCGAGGCACAGCCCCCAACTTGTAGTACCAGTGTTAAGTGGGACATGCAGCACTTGAGGCAAAATCCCTATCTGCCATTCCAATCAGGCACCTTCATAAAGGACAGTGTGAAGCAAATATGCACACTGGGATATTGACTTATAAAGTTACTCAAGATTTATATTGGTTTGTGTGAAACCAAAATTACATCAGTTGTGAAATCCAAATGAAGTGATGTATTTGGTTTGTAATACTTGTGCTACTGCAACATTATCTGATCTACTTGATATAAGCTGAAGACTCTGTTCTTGTTCATACTTAAATGGCTCAAATCTTCAGACTCTTACTTGGGTAACTCATGCAGATTTTAAGATGAGCAATGAATCACAATTACTGCTATAGATAAGGTTTTCTGGAATGGATCTTAATTCCCTTTAGAGGAACAGGGGGCAAAAGACATCATAATGTAATATAAAACCTGTAAATCCTAAAAATCTGTCAAGTCCTTTGCAGCTGTCCAACAGTACTCACAATACAGTAGCTTCACTGTTCCTTGCTAACAGTTCTAGCAGAAGCTAAAGAAACTATGCTGTGGAAAACAGACTTTCATAAAGGAGAAGTGGACAACAGGAGATTAAGAAGTCCATCTTCCGTTTCTTTACCCATGTTCCTTCCTATTTTCCCTCTCACATGATGAAAACTGAAGTTCCCTCTCAATCTCTCTGGTACAGAAAGACAGCAAAGTACTCAGACTGATACTGTTGTAAACTTTGAGGCAACATTTTCAAACTCCAGGTGTGCTACAAAGCTTTGTCACTGGCTGATATTAGGAAGTGAGGTGCAGGCAGATTCCTTATATTGAATATCCTAACCTGAAAATGTTTTTCTTCACCTATAAAGCTGTAGTCCTATTTACTAGACAGCTAAACAGAACTGAACAAATTAGAAAAAAACCCAATTAGCATATTCTATATAATGCAGAGTTTTAGTGCATATTGATATAAATATTTATAGCAGGTCACACGTCCATGCCAGCTACCTTCTGTGGCTTACACTGAGCTGCTAGCAGAAAGCACTGCATGATCCATGACTTTAAAAAAAAAAAAATATAATGAGGCAGCCTGATGGTGTATGAGGTAGGTGTCAGAGAGTGATTTCAGAGTAGAATTGGCCTGAATCAGATCTCTTTTCTCTTATATAGAATCAGAATTCACAATAGTGACATCAACAGAATGACATGAATGGAAGAGAGGTGTAAAATAGAGCTAGGCCTCCTATTCCTTAACAGTCCAATCGTTTTGTGCTTTTTCCCACTAATTAAAAACTAAAAGTACAGTGGAAGCAGAGGAATTGGTGATTGGTTATATCATTAGGGAAAGACTAGTGACCTAAATTCACTCTATGTGCTTTTGCAGCTATATCCAATTTCCAGGAGCACTAATGCTACTGCCTCAGGGGGCTCCAGAAGGGTCAGCACACAGCCAGTGCACAGTATTTTTCTTTATTTTTCTGCAAATCTTCAATAGTGCTGTAAGTATAAGGTCCAGTTACATGAGTTAGGGTATGAAGCAATAGCTCTTGCCTCTCCTAGAAGAATGAAAAAAGGAGATGGAACAGAAATGGGTGAAGTGGTACACTCTACACTCATGCCTTCCCTATTAAGTGACCAAATCTTTAGCTTGGAAGGGGGCACGGGACAGTGGGACAGAGTTACAATTCAAAAAGAGTTGTGATGATGCAAAATGGCTCTGTATGTCAACCTGAACTGCACTTGTCAACCTACAGGAACAGACAAGAATGGGAAAGTGGCTCTCAAAACCACAGATAGGAAAACCTTCCCTCTAACCTCGTGAGACTGATACACCTCTACTTATCACTGTGGCTCAGGACCTCAGGGCAGTCAGGTCTGTAGTTTTCAAACAAAACTAAAAAGTATAGAGCACCAAAGGGAGATTGTATCAATGATCACTAACGAGACAGAAGGGGATGGTTTGTATTTTTTGTACAAGTTAATTTGTACTCTTAATTTCTTCTCTGTAGTCACTGCTCTGATAAGCTACAGGCTTTTGAACTATGCATTTCTGTGCCCCATTTCTCCACTGGAATTTAAATAGGTTGAAAGTGACAATGTTTTTCAAAATTATAAAAAGTAATGGTAAAGGCTGATTTGAGCACAGGCTCCAGAAGTGAAGCACTAAGGTTATCACCTTACCTCAGCTCCAATATGCTAGTAACGTTCCTGGAGGGGAAGATACGCCGGATATAGTTAAAATCTCCAACAAAGAGACTTCCATCAATACCCACTGCCAGTGCTACAGGGGCCAAAAGCTTATTTCCTTCTGCCAGACCATTGCAGCTTGGACAGGATATGCTTCTGCGGCGCCCATTCCCCATAATGCTGGTTATCACAGCCGGCTGCTGAGTTAGGAACTGGTTTTCTCCGTTGCCTTTGTGCAATATACCTAATGACAAAGAGCAGAAGAAGTGGTTATTACCACCATTCATTGCAAGGGACTTCAGGCTGTTCTCTTTCCAACAGCTGCTCTTAAGGACTGTGTGCACTGAAAAGACTCCAGCATTTGGGTTTTCGGTCAAACAAGGAGAGCAAAAGGGCTTTGCAGTAGTGAAAATAAAGGTGTAATGAGATTCAGCGTTGAAAAGCACACACATACACACCCACAGACCCAAACCTACAACACCTTTAGTGTTCATTATGAAAGAAAACACTGCCATACAGCTCTGGCCTGGTACTGTGGTTTAGACTGTGATAATAACTGGGAAACAAGAAGGCAAACAGTGGTGAACACATATTCCTTATTTGTGTGCCTGGATCCTCTCATTCCAGTTTGCTATATCATGTTTTGTCTGGAATTCTGTGCCAACCTTACTGTTCTCTTTCCACCTCTCAGTCTTTCATACTTCTTTTTAATGGAAAATGAAAAATGAGAAACGGAGGCACCAGAGAAGATGATAACACAGCAAATGAAAAGATAGGAGAAAGATGAAACTCCCAGAAGGGCTACTAAGGATCAGTGATAAAAGGCAACAGGGAAGCTAGTGGTACAGATCTTTATTAGGCTTCAAGGAAATACCTTCAAGATAGGATTTATTTTCAAAATATTTGTTAAAAGAGCAGACCCCTGCTCCAAGAAGAGAGTGGATTCTCTGACAGAGTGATCATTTTCAGTGTCATCAAAAACTGTGGACATCTGGCTGGAAAGTTTCAGCCTCATGTTGTTTGAGAAATGCAGCTGCATGATCCTGATGTGACTGGTGACAATAGTGTCATGCACTACCCAAATATCTGTTTCAACAGTGTTGGATCCACTGCCCAGCACTGGAAGTGTGTTCAAATAGCCTGACCATGCCTGTTCTGAAGGCTACTTTAGATTTATTGAGCAAAAATATCCTTTGCTATTTGTTAACGCAGGGATCAGCAGGAAGGCTGTAAAAAACACTTCATAGGGATCAAATAAAATATGTGCTGAGCATTCAGCTCCCAAAGAGTAAAATATGGAGATCAGAAACATTCAGCTTAGGATATGGAAGGACAAAGAGAAGTGAGGAAAATACAGACAGGTGACAAATGAGAAAGACAAATGAAACCCAGTATCTAGTCACAGACTCACACTTCTTGTAAGCCCCATCTCAGAGGGAAAAAAAGTCAAGCAAAAGGAACCAGGAATGGGTGTGGTTCATAAAAAAAAAAAAGGAAGGAAGACAAAAAGATATTACAGTGGAATAAATGAACAACAGAATAGAAGACAGAGATTTGGATTCAGAAAGTCATGTGGTGCAGAACAGTCAAAAATTTGTTGCAAAACAATTTCTGACAGCTGAAATGTGTTCCAGACCTTACTGAGCTAAAGATGAAACAAAAAGAGTGGAGAAACTGCAGTTTTTGAAAGTGTAAATATAATGCAAGTAAAAAGTGTTTGCAGACAAAACTCCATATAGGACAGAAAACACATGGAATTAACTAACTCACCACTCTTAACATTAAGTACATGGTGTTTATCCAGGGACCATCCTCCTAAGTTTGAAGGATCTAGTTCAAATCCTTGCAGCAGTGCTGTCCTCTTCTCCCATAAAATGAGACTGGGGCAAGTCTCATATTCAAAACCCACAGACACTGAAATAAAAGAAAATCTAATATACTTCCTGAACAAACATTGAATTAAATGTCTAGAGCATATTCCCAATAATCAGCATTCCAGTTTCCCTCGAGAAGATGGAGTGATTATATTAATCCCTTTTATTCTACAATATTGTATTCAGATTTTTGACTAGACACAAATTTGAAACTTCATTCACATGTACTCTGCAGGGATCTGATCACTTCTATCTTAACAGCTCACATTGGGAAGTGACTGGTTTGGTGGGAGGAGAGTGAGAAATACAATTTTTAAAATATAACAAAATTATTCTATCAGATAACAGGACAAGATTAAATTCTTTATTTGCCAGATGTCCATGGCATTTATTTAGTGTATTCATTTTACATACCATATACCAAACAGCAGTGAAAACTTTGTGTGCACTTAAACACAAGTGCACTGTAAGCATTACTCAGGAAAGCATTATCCCATGCAATAATGTAAGAAAGAAAAGCTATAGCAAAGAAGAATTTAAGAAAACATAGAAAATAATTAACATTTTAAAAATAAGCTGTTGTTTCTACACTGGCACAGCTCTGATGCTCATCTTTAGCACTGTTGTATAAAAATTATTCTGATACTCAATGAAAACTGAAAAATATTATGATGATCACTCTTTTTCCCACCCACTAAAACCAAGCAAACTAAAAATAGCTACAGAACTACAAGACTGAACAGCATTAGAAGAACAGCATTTTCATTTCAAATGTGTTATACCACAAGAGACTACAATAATGGCATGTGTGAAAACCCAAGTGCACTGCAGACTGCCAGCCATGGGGATCATTCGTTAACGGAAAGAAAACAGAAAAACAATGATGGACTAGGTTTCACCCAAGTTCCTGAGTCCAGTTTTTCCTATTTCCTGGTCTAAACCTTCTAAGTCAGGTACCAATCAGGAAACAAAGGCATGTTGATGGAGTTTAGACACTCTGAATATGATCTTTAATGTGTAAAAGAACAGTAATACAAAGATAAACTGCGTCAGGGAGACAAGAACTGTTCAGTCTATACTTCCTCCTCCACAAGAAATCTCTGCAGTTTTCTTGCTTAGAATTACAGGTGTCACTTGGAACGTTTTGGAGCTTGTATGTGCTGACTTACCTACAGCATCTGACAACCCATACACCTTCTGACCATATGCATCTGTTTTGTCCCAGATAAATGTATATGCCAAGTTGGGAGATGCCTGAAATGATTTTTGAAACAAATGCCCTTCAACTGCTACCATCAAATGAACTTTGATGAGATTCAGAGGCACAAGGGTCTGAGTCATGATGATCTTCAGCAAGGATTTGTATCCAGCAGTACGGGAACTCAGGTAGCTGAGCTTTATACTAGAGCCAGGGATCTCAATTTCTTCATGAAGAACCTGAACATGAAAAAGACCAAGCATTTCACATTAGTGATTTTTATTTATTTATTTTTTTAAGATCACCTTGCATATTCTTATGAACTTATTACTTTCTGCTACTGGGAATGGCTATCCTAAAACCAGTGCAGCGACACAGTTCAGCTGACATTTCTGACAAATAATTATTGGGTAGACATTCTTTTTAAGTACAAGTATTTTTACTGCATGTTATATGCAAGGGAAACATGAGAAACACAGTCATAGGAACCCACAACTTCCACTAACAGTATAAAGACTAACTGAATTCAGTGAAACAACAGTGCCAGGAGAGTTTTCCTTTGTCCTAAGTAACAAACAAGGAAACAGCGTGTGGTTAGCACCACATGCCAAGCCTTTGCAAAATTCTCTCGAACAACCTAAGCTGTCAACTGAAACACAGAGATATACTTGATATATTGTATCATAATGGGACGGTGCAAGGTAGTCAAAGATAAATGTGTCCGGGTGACACAAGCCTGGGATATCTCCTGCAGCCCTCACTAGAAAACCTGGTACCTGTCACAACAAATGCAGCTCTACAGAGGCATTTGCTGCAGCAATTGCAGGGACACAGTGACTCTGATTTCTGTATCCTTTTCACTCCCAACTGTTCTTACCTGGGTTTCTGGCACGATGGGATTCCGGCTGGGAGCATCACTGAAGAAAGTTGAAAGTGGTGATGAAATGATGACTGGGTCAGGACGGACAAACCCACTCAGATCACAGCTGGGAATGGAGTTCTCCTCTGTCTTCATCACAAGTGTGTCCATGGCATAGAAGCTATTCCATGGCAGCCACACTGTCCTTTCCTGACTCATAAAGGGGGCCCGCTCAAAGTGCAAGGTCAGGGAAGCTCCACCGTTTGCAACCAAGTCAAACCTAGAAAAACGTGGCCTTTAGAAGTGACAAGACTGAATAATTCCAGTAATAGCATTCCTGGCTAATGACACAGAGGTATAACCTATAGCCATGGGTTCATGCCTGGTTTTGGCTGAGATGGGGTTAATTTTCTTCCTCAGAGCTGCCATAGTGCTGAGTTTTGGACCCGGGGTGACAATAATGTTGGTAACACAGGGGTGTTTTTGTTATTGCTGAGCAGTGCTCTCACAGAGTCAGAGACTTTCCTCCTCCTCACTCCACCCCACCAGAGGGCAGAATATGGGTGCACAAGGAGTTGGGAGGGGACACAGCTGGGACAGCTGACCCCAAATGACCCAAGGGATATCCCAGGCCATATGGTGCCATGCTCAGTATATAAACTAGGGGAGAAGCTGCTCCAGATCTGGCTGGGTATTTCTTTCTCTTTTTGTTATTTTCCTTTTCATTACAATTTATTATAATATTTATTTTATTTCGGTTATTAAACTGTTTTTATCTCAACCCACGAGTTTTCTTACTTTTATCCTTCTGATTCTCTCCCCGTCCCACCGGAGGTGGGGAGAGGGAGAGGACCTTGATTATGTTTTAAATGTCATGCTTCAAATGATCAATAATGGGATGTGAACCTCTGGCAACTAAACAGCTGAAAACCAGCCAAGACAAGCAATGATTGGAAGTCACCTGGACAAACCTCATCCTGACATAAAATCTGCATTAAATAATTTAAAAAATGCCCAACAGACAAACCACCACATTTATTATTACAAGCCACCTTTATGCAGAATAAGCAGAGAAGCCAAGTTCATTCTGAGCTGGACAATGAATTATCCCTTTCCTGAAAGACCCTGTCCATCAAGCACAGAATGGGACAGGTGGCAGTAGCAGAATAGTAATGAGAAGTGTTCTACAAATAAGAATTCCTGTCCCCAGGATAACTGATCTATCATTTTTCAGACATATTAGGTGTTTACTCCCAACCTCCTACACAATCACAGCAGTTATGTGGAGCTGCACAGGCATTTGAAATCTGGCCTCAATGAGTAAAATGCTTCCAGGTTGTTCTGACAACAGAAGTAGGTATCAGTTGTTCCACGTAAATGCTGGCAACGTAACAAACTACTCAATGACTTCAACAATTTATTCAGATTTAAATATAGTTCAGCTCACCATTTACTGCAGTATTAAACCACTGAAATCAACATTATACTCTTATTATAACAGATTAATATTCTGGGAAATGTGGCACTTGAATACTCCCTATAGTTCAGTTGACTCATATTAATTATTTCAATTCAATTGTTTGTATGCATGATCAAGACAAAATGGCAAATGTTTACAATGCCTGTGTCTGATACACTGCTTTAGGTACCACAGCCAGTAAACCAGATAAACCATGACACATTGACTTTTGTTTATCTGAATCTGTGTGCATTTCAAATAAGCTGATACAAGGGGGAAAAAACACTTTTTTGCACAGCAGGAAATTGTCTAAATATATTCAATTAGAATCTTTTGATTACATTCTACCCTGAAGAAACTCAAAAGAGAGTGGATCTTAAAAAGGAAAGAGAGGCAGAAGGGAACTTTTAACAAAATATACTATTCCATAATGATACTTTTCTTTTTCCTAGAAGTGTTAGCCTGCATTGCATTTTAAAATAAAATATTTCTGGTCTCAGCTGGATATTGCTGTAGTCCACAAATGTTTTCATAGATACAGAGCAATTTTCTGAAAGGAGCCTGCCTGCTAACACGTCATTACCAGAAGTCAGCCTGTTCGTATTTACATGCAGTTAGTATTCAAGATGCCACGTGAAAAATTACTTTTGTGTTTACTTAATAGCTCTTTGCCCTGGGAGGAAGGCAATGCCTGATACCACATGGTTGCATCAGATCACACCATCTGTTAATCAGCAAAGACACCACATATGAAAGAGGGACTCAGTGAAGCAGGGACACTCACGTGCCATCCTGACGAGTGATGGTGTAGCCGTACTTTGGATACTTGACAAACGACACGTTGACCCCAACTAGAGGAGTTCCATCTGTAGTCACCACTTGGCCTCTTATGAGAGACACAAGACTGAAAAAAGAAGGAGAATTAAAGGTATTAATTGCAAAAGGGAAGCTATGTTGTTTATAAACGGAGCAGTGGAACACTTGTGCCTCATTTACTCTAAATCCAATTTTCTCCAGAGATTTTTCGAATATTGAAGAACCACAATATTGCCCAGGTCCCTCTATACACCTAAATCAAGACACTGTTCATCTGTGCAGTGAGATGTTTATACAGAATGGGAGTTAGTGCTTTCCTTGGCTAACAAGGCTTTGCCTCATTGTCTAACGAGGCTTTGCAGAGTAGAAATCTCCCTCAGAGTCAGCCAGGCCAGAGCTGTGACCCTGCAGCCCTACTAAAGCTCAAAAACCTCCCTGTGTACAATAAGGTGCCTGTGGGTGGCTAATACACTTAAAAATATGGTGCAATGCCATATCTTTTTTTTTACACAACCAGTTCTCCAAGTTAGGGTTCACATTCCCTTGTCTTAGGGAATGACTGGTGTTCCTGCACCGCATTCGGTCCTGATTTGGAACCCTGGCTTTGCACTTTGCCAGCAGGAGGAAGGACTTGGTTTTAAGGCCAGCTTTATGCACAGGCAAAACAAAGAGTTTTCTCAGCCAGCAGGATAAGCAGCTTTGCTCAACCTAAGGGAGATGAAGATGAACTATTCCTCCAAGAGGCACAGTCAGTTTTTTCCCTTTGGAGAGTGCTCGTTAAGTGCGCAGCGGGCAGAGAGTGCTGCTGCTCCCAGCTGGAGAGGAGTCTCCAGCCCTGGCTCCTTTCCCTTCCTCCTTCCCTGTACCCTGAGAGAAGCAGACTGGTGAGGGTGGAAGCTGCTTGGTAAGAGGGAGATGGAAAAGGAAAAGCTCCTTGTAGATGGCTTCCATTCCTACACTGGAAACATGAAAACAGAACAAGTCAACCCAGGAAACAGGGAGAGAGTTAAATCCTCTTAACCCATAACCTCAGGGATCACAAACCCACATTTTCCTAATGTATTTTACTGGCTATTTAAAAACTACTTCCTTGTATTTTTAATTCCAAACAGGTGTAATATTTTCTTCGATATTACATAAAAGAAAATAATTAATGAAAATGAATAATTTCTGTTATTTTTCTTTTAGAACTTTCAACTGCTTCTTGACCCTTCAGGTCAAATTTTAATTTGCAAAATAACACTTCATATCAGAGTATGGAATTTAATAGAAATTGATACTTGCTAAGAAAATCTACTTAGGAACATACTGGACAAAGATAATTGCCTTGGCATTATTCATTTTGCTTCAATTATGTTATGTTATAAACACGGAGAAATAGTTGCAGGAAAAAAGTCAAGCTTCTCTAAGGAAACTGTGCAGAAAGTAGATTTAGAAAGAAATCATCATATGGCAGAAGAGAATGAATAATGTCCATGACTTAATTGTTTTCTACCTTAAATATTAATATTTCAGGAAATAATGTGAATAAAATATTGCAGTCAATAATCTTCCTTTTCATTTCTAAAATGCTAAAATCAAGCACACAACGGATCTTAAAATAAGCTAAAATGTAGTTAAAATCTGGATTTATAAGAAGCAATATTTTGACTAATAGTCACACATAGGACAACCTTTCTTTGTTAATCTTTTAAAAGTGTAACTTACAAATTAAGCTGATACATGAAGCGCTTTTCCCTTTTTTTTTAAACAAGGAATTTAAATGTGTAAAAACACTTAGCTTTTTTTTTTCTAAAAACTTCATCTTATTTCTGCACAGAAATGATTAATGAGACTTAAATATTTTTGCAATCAATAAATTTTGTTATTTATTGCTTTAGCAGGGTAGGAAATAACTTCTTTTTCTTATACTAAGACTGGAAAAAATTAATAACCACTACTTTGTCCCACTTTTTCATGTCTCTCAATGGAACGAGAGCAAACAGAGCCAGTACCTTTCATGGGAGCTACTTCTTGGGACTATGGCAGCTTCAGTATATGTAAAACTTGGGAGTCTAACCCTGTGGCACTTTTTAAAAGTCAAAAACCTTAGTTTTAAAACTTACATTTTGACACTATACATTAATTTGCCTAAAATTGGTACCAAAAATAACAGCTGAGCTGCAGAACTATCAAAAGCACCTTCACAACTTAGAGGCTAAGGCCAATTTTAACGTCATTAATATGCCATTTGCACAGTTATGCTAAAATCTGCAGAGTACTTCAGATGAATAAAACAGAAGTAAGACTCCTGCCACCAGGAACCCTGGAAAACATATTTAAAAAAAAATCTATAATTTCAGATGAGTTTTTTTTCAAAGGAGCCTTAGGATTGAAGTGCCAGCTCCTGCTTAGCCTAGAGCCCTAATTCATAGAACATAGAATGGTTTGGGTTTGAAGGGACCTTAAATTTTGTTCTGATATCCCCTGCCATGGGCAGGGACATCTTCCATTAGCCCAGGTTGCTCCAAGCACTGTCTAATCTGCCCTTGAACACTCCCAGGGATGGGGCAGCCACAGCTTCTCTGGGAAACCTGTGCCAGGGCCTCCCCACTCTCACAGGGAAGATTTTCTTCCTAATATCCCATCTAAACCTACTTTCTGTCAGTTTGAAGCCATTCCCCTTTGTCCTGCCACTCCAGGCCCTTGTAAATAGTCTCTGTCCATGTTTCTTGCAGGCTCCCTTCAGGCCCTGGAAGGCCACAATTAGGTCACCCTAAAGCTTCTCTTCTCCAGGCTGAACGATCCCAACTCTCCCAGCCTTTCCTCACAGCAGAGTTGCTCCATCCTCTGATAATCTTGATGCCTCCTCTGGATCCAGCCCTTGTTAAACACCATAAGATTCCCAAGGGCCACCATTTGAGCTTGTCCAGGTCTGTCTGGATGATATCCTGTCCTTCAGGTGTGTCACTGCACCCCTTAGGCTGTCAACAGCTTAATTCCTAGGCTGTTTTGAAGACTCCAACTCATATCCATACTTAAACAGCTTGACTATTTCTACTACAAATTCTGATATTTCTTGGATGGTGCAAGAACATCTGCACAGCACTACAGCCATCTAGAAATTTGGCATGATAATCACCCCCTTCTGTAAAACACTCAAAGATCTCAGAATGAAGTGTTGGATCATGTTAATAACACAGCTAAACATCATCAGATGGTAGTGGAATACAGACACAGGGAATACACTCATTTTCATTCCACAGAGCTTAAGGAGGCAATGGCTCGAGCTGGGTCAGCATCCAGTAGATAACAGGAAACTTCTGGCTTCTCTTTGCTTGAGGAAACATTGCTGGTGGTAACTCATATAGACCAGCATTGTACCAAGCAGCCTGTGGACTATTTACTTCTTATACTATAGCCTGTGTTCCTTTTTGAACAAATTATTCAGCCTCATGAATCAGCAAGCTTCTCCCTTGTTTTCCTTTTCACACAACACCGCAGAAAATTGCAAGAATTCCCCCCTCTTAATTTTACGGAGCTGATAAAAAAGATCACAACAAATTTTGGTGAAAACAGAACAATTTTTTTCTTTTTTTTTTTTTCCCAAACAACTCCATGTGTGTATGCATGGAGTATTTTATAGAATAGCATAAAAACTATATTATACAGAGTAGGATCCAGCAGGGTTTTCCTGATGGAATATGGAAATGATTGTGCTGTTTGAGTAGCATGGAAATGAATACAGTGGAGACCTGCCTGGTGTATCCAGAAACATTATGATCCTCTTTTTACAGACAAATATTTAGGGACCTGCTCTACATCACCCATTAAGCCTGTAATGGGATCCTGACTGGGAAAACAGTTTTCTGTAATGAAGTCCAATCTTCTGGGCGTTATCTCAAATGATGTTCTTTCTTAAGCTTTAACTTTGGTGATATGAACATAATTAACATATTCATCAATTTCTTAGCATCTTTCCATGGAGACCTATTTAAATAATATTGATAATACCAATCTTCTTGTAAGCATACAATGGCATCAAATATCAATTAATGATATGCTGGCTTTTAGATTCATTACAAATATATAATTAATAATCATAGGAAGAACAAGCTTAGGAAAAAAAAAACAAGAAGAAAAAGAAAACTTAGTCAGATGTATTGATGATACAAGTAAAATGGCTTTATATAAGGAATAAATAATAAAACTCCCTAAGTTAATGTATCTTTAAATTTATTTGAAATGTTATTCCACTATTGAAACTTGTGTAAATGGCACTAAATAAGATGTAATCTCTTTTAACTTGGTCTAGACTGCAGTCTTCATAAAATACAAACCCCAGCAGCTCCTACTCAGTGGAAGGAACCTTCTTCTAGGTGTTGCCAATACGTTAAAATGCTAATAAATGCTAATAAAACTCAGTGTTATAAAATAAAGCCCACATCATCAACTGCAACAGAGTGTGATCAGTGCAAACATGAAGCACCTGAAAGCAGCATCTCACATCAAAACACGAATAAAATCGGTGGGGGAAATTCTCCCGTACAACTCAACTGCACAGATCCAGTGTCACACTCCTAGCTGCTACCTGCTGTTGAAGGGATTTTCTCCTGGGATGATGTGAGTGCTGTCCTTCCCCACCAGGAGCTTGATTCGATCATAGAACGACTTCACAGCGGGTGCTCCAGAGTGGCTCTGCTGGATGATGTCCAGGGGGTCCCGCGAGCCCCGGCACAGGAGGCTGTTCTGGCAGGTGGACTGGAGGCAGCAGTCTGGGTCCAGGCAGTCCACCAAGCCATCTGAAAGGTAATAATTCTCATATTCAGCCAGCTGCACAGCGCTGTTGAGCAGTCATATCCAATGGAAAACTGAAGGCACTGGGAAAAACTTAAAGCTTACTATTCATACCATCTCTGCGCCCTAAAACTGGTAATTGAGCCAACAGTGCAACGAGGATGAGGCTTTTGAGCTCACTGCTTAGACACCTACAATTATTGTATCACAGAATCACAGAATGGGCTGACTTGGAAGGGACCCACAAGGGTCATCGAGCCCAACCCTTAGCCCTGCACAGGACAGCCCCAAGAGTCACCGATGTCAGATGAGGATCAATCCCAGAGAAATCTGTTAAGGTCTGGAATTAGGAAGAAGGAAGTGGTAGGAATAAAGGATTTTTTGTTTAGGTTCTTTGCCTGGTGGGGTTTTTTGTTTGTTTCGTTTTGTTTGGTTGGGTTTTATTTTGTTTTTGTTCCCCCTTTTTGTTTGTTTGTTTGGGGTTTTTTTTTGTTTGTCTTGAGAATTACGCTGTTTCATTTGATTTGTTCTGTTTGGGGAGCTGAGAGGAGATGGGGGTGACAGAGTAAGTTATCATTATCTAAGTAAAACAAAGATTAAGTTGTAGCCATTTTGGCAATTCACAGGGAAGTGCTGTTGGAACTCCCACCTCCCACAGATACCTCAGAACTTGTGTGCATGCTTAGACAAGGAAGGGTCAGTCAGAGTTAGTGGGTTCAGTCATCATATTACATATCAGGTTGTCCATCAAGAATATTTTTAAGAAAAAATAGAATTTCAACATCAGAAATTAAAATGGAGTCAATGGGAAGATCAATCTGTATACTTAGATGAATAACAGCTGACTGTTTTTAGCACACAGAGTAACAAGTCTAGCATCATCCTTTCCTTTGATATCAGCATTTAACCGAAATATGTTCTCTCAATGGAGTTCTACTGTAATTTAAAAATTAATAACCATTTATTTTAAAACATTATCATCTCTAACCATTTAGTAACATTTGTTCATCTTCTCTGGCAAGAATCAGGCATTCAATCTGCAATCTATTTATGTCAGTAAACCTTCAGAGTCTCCCCAAGGTGTATTAATCTGATTTTTTCAATACAAATATGGCCTGGGCATACACTGAACACCATACAAAATAGAGAGCATTCCAGAAGGGAAGCTGACAAAAGTACCTTAGAGTAAGATCATGACTCATGCATTTTCAAGATTTTCAAATGCATAACAGACCAGTAGAGTGATAACTGGAAAAACAACAACAAAAGAAAAAAAACAACCCAAAACTACAAAAAAACTTTCTTATTTTACAATTAGCCTTGTATTTCCAACCCACTGTGTGTGCCTAAAATGACTGTTTCTGATTTAAAACCAAAATTGCCCAGGTATGCTTGCAATGTTTCAGTCAGGCCTCCAAAGACATTTAAGTCAGACAAAGTACCTTGTTGTGAGAGCTGTATGTTGCTTTAAGGTCAGCCGCCTATTCACATTAAGAGCTCCATTTATCTTGAGATCCTTTCCAATGTGGCCGTAGGAATTTTCTGTTTTGCTGCAGTCCATTTTCCACCCACTTTATATAATCATTCTAAGGACATCATGAGCCTCAGGGTATAACTCAAGGCACTTTTCCTATTAAGCTCTGAGAACTTTTTCTCAGTATCCTGCATTCCTTTTCAGCTTGTGAGAACCCCACAACCATGAACTTAGAGCTGCCCACTGTTTAGTCCACTCAGTTCTTTTACTCAGACGACCACCAGGCTAAAAAAAAATCCTATCAACACACCAGAAATAACAGAGGCAAAACACAGGATATAAATTTCACATTTACACGCCGAAGCTGCCTCGTATTTTTGTCGTACCTGTTATTAGAGGTGAGCACAAGTTACGCCTGCAACGACCTCATCATGCAGCAGATTATGGGATGCTGTAACCAAACCCTTCTGATGACACCACGAACTTTGAATGGGCATATCAATCTCCCAGCCTCCTGTCAGTCATGAGAATCACATCTTCATGCTCACGAGCCCCCCTGGATATCGCCTGACATTGCAATCTCCAGTAAATTACCCTGCCACTGCCAATCTCACCGTTATCTCACAAACAATCAAGCAGGCAATCAAACTGCTCTGAATTGCCAGTTCAGGACCTGGGAGGCTGGAAACGTCTCCATTCAACACCAGGGAGAAACCTGCCTGTGATGCCTTTCATGTAAGAAGGTTTCAGTGCAGTTACGTGAATTCAGACCCGCACACTTTCAGCTGGCTGCAACAATATTTAGAAAAGACAGGCACAGAGCGTAACAAATATACACAATTCTCTTGTTTAGAACATTATTACTTATAATATATGGCTATATTCCCCTGCACTAATTTATTCCCAGATGGCTGGAGTCAGGAGTCAGGATATTTTTACCTCATGAGCTAGTAGATCCAGCTTGTAGCAACAGCAGCACTGAGTTCTGGGTGTGTTCAGCACACCCAGCCAGACCCCGGGCAATGCTGCTTGGTATCAAAGGCTTATACACCACTGTCAAAAGCTTATACACCACTGTGCTGGTCACATTCACAGTTGCTGCTATTATTGACTTTGCTGCTCTCACATCTCTGACTCTATGCATGAAAGTATCAGTTACTCAGCAAATGTCAATTTTTAGTTCACGTTTGTCTAATTTGCTATCCAGACTATTATCACAGAATGACTGAGGTTGGCAAGGACCTCTGGAGGTCATTTGGTCCAGTTCCCCTGCTCAAGCAAGGCTACCAGAAACCAATTGCTCAGGTCCACGCCCAGACAGCTTTTGAATACCTGCAAGGTTGGAGGCTCCACAAGCTCACTGGGCACCTTCTCCAGTGCTCACTCACTGCACAAAGAAGTGTTTCCCAGCACACATGTGTGCCTGGGATTGTTTCTCCTCATGTGCAGGACCTTGCACTTCATGAGGTTTCTATCAGCCCATTTTTCCAGCCATATTGTACCGTTACATAGGAAGTAAATTGTTACAAAACCATTTATTTGCATTAGACTCAGTTGATTTAAACAAGGGCTAGAAAGAAAAGTACTTTCTGTAAGAGAAACTCTGCCATTAGCATGAATTTTAATTAGAATTCAGTGCTTTGTTTTTTAATATATGTTTCAGAGCTTGTCATCTTCCAGATTTCCTCAGGTATGCTGAATTATTTAAACAGTTAATTCAATGACAAAACCCTCACCATTCGCCTCCCCAAAATATTGCTGCTTTTCATGGCATACATATCTGAGTTTGAAGTGGGCAGTTAGCAGCTCTCTGAAACTCTGCACGCTAAAGGGAAGAGACAGGAGAGGGAGTTAAGATGGTACTGAACCTCCTCCAACAATTTTAGACCGAAAGAAGTCCTGACTTGGCCCTAACTGAGAAGAAGGAAAGAGGAAATTTTGATCTGATTTAAACTGGCAGCACAGGATTAACTCTCCATTGCTGTTCATGGTTCTGAATTCCCAAATCTTTTCAGAAACCAAGCAAGTGGCATAGTATTCCTCTTGAAGACTTCACTTCTGCTGATGGATACACACATCTCTTGACTTTCCACAGACTTCTTGGCAGACTTTGCTATACAGCAAACAGAAAACTTTAAACCATTACATGTAAGCAGACTAACCTCCTTGTGCATGCCATATTTGAGAGGGCTTTATTATTGTGTTCCTCTTGGCCATCCTTACAAGGACTAAAAATGCTCTCAGTAGGAATAGTGATATATTTTACTGCTAATGTATTTAGAACCTCTCAGCATCAGTTTTCCTTCACCACTGAATATACTTCTCACCACTTCCAGGCAACTGGATTCCAGAACTGAGCTACACCTTTCTGCAGAAACTTGATGCTTGAGCTATTGGGGTTTTGTTAAACCCCTGTGAGTAAATTATCTTTAGCTTACACACTTCCTCAAACACTTGCAGGTTGTGCTTCAGGTTCAATTCACGATGCAGGTTAGAATGAGTGAACTATGACTTGACATCCAGCTGCTTGAGAAAATGCTTTCTGTACCCAGCAGGGGACAGTTCTGTTTCCAACCCAAAACTCCTGAGCCCGTGCTCAGCAGAGGGCATCCTTACACTTCACTAGCTGCAGGAGCCGGGGACTTTCAGAGCCTAATTCCTGGAAATTTTTCTTTTTCCAATAAACATTTCAGACTGATGATTAAAATGGAGGTGGGGAGGAGTGGGGGGGAACAGCAGCTACTACGAACCCTGAGGGCAAAAGGGTCTTTGATCACTCTAAGGGCAAATTAGTTAATTTATCATGATCCGATTTTAATTATGTGCAGTATTAATATACCCAAGGTGAAAGAATTAGAGATGCTCTATCAGATTATCAAAAGAGTAGGCCTTCTCTCTGCCAACACAGAAATATTTTAATTGAGCTCTAAAATTGCATGCAGAACTGCTTCCACAGGCTGGCTATGCCACAGCCCAGTGTGTCTTATTACCAGGAAGTTTCATCTAATATTTAACCCAAATTTTCACACTTTTCAAGCCTGATCTAATTCCTGTCAGCTATATTGCCATATATCATTCAAAATAATTCCTCAGAAGTTCCTGGTGCTAACAAGAAAGGAAATGCTTCTATTCCTGTTCCAGCCCTGTTTCCTCAAATAGCCAAACTGGAAAGTCTCTCCATTATACCGCTGCCTTTTATAGCTAACTGCGAGCACAACAGAGTATTTTTGTAACCAAAGCTGCCTTTCAGGAAAAGCTGGATTATAAATCCCAAATTTTGGTGAAGTAGAATTAACCTGGATTCTGTGTAATGCTGGGTGTGCCTCCAAAACCTCCACAATGAGGGTATAAAGATGGGTATAAAGAGCCACTGTAGTGATTTCCTCGTGCAATACGTCAAAAGAAATAGGAATCTAAAAAGTAATGTACCCTCTCCCATTCCTCAAAATACCACCTGTAATGCCTTAAAGCACCCTGGAATATCAAAGTGGTCAAGCACCAGCCCCACTTCCCTTGTCCATTCAGGATCCC